ACACTCCTCTTTCGTTTCGAAAATAGACGAGCACGCGAGCGAAGCGAGCGAGCGAGAGAGAACCCCTTGCTCTACTGGTCAATATATCCCCCGCGGCTTTTATTTTCATACCCAAAATCGACGATCTCCAAAGAGAAAATAGATGGACGATCTCTAATGAAAAAGTAGAGGGTCTGTGAACAGGCTACGAAGGTGCTTGCTATTATTTTAGTGAACTTTACAAGAGGTCTCAGGTGATTATGCTAACGTCATGAAAAGTCTACTTTAGGGAAGGAGGAGGAGATGGGTGGGTTGGTTGGCATTGGGTTCTCCATTAGGATCAACCCTACACATACAACAATCCATGTCTTTATCACTACATTTAGAGCTAGCAGACTTTGTTTGATCCACAAAATTGGCGCATAAAAATAAAAGTTTTTCCTCACCACCGCTAAATGTTTGGTTCCGGGTGGCGGAGAACAAATCACGTTGTTCCGTTTCGGAACAGCCTACTGGCCATGCTGGCTGCTCATTTAAAAGGGGTCCGTAATGGCACATTAATTGATGACTCTGTGCGGCCTGAAGAAAATTATTTACGCAGACGTTTTCTGAGCGACGAAGGTGCTGCCTTTACACTTCTTTTTCTTTTCGAAAATGGCCACGGACTTCTCTCCTCGCTCCTCGCCGCTAGGCGGACGTTTTTGCCTGAGAGATACCACCATGAAAGAGTTTTAGCACACAAGTCATTGCAGGTGCAGACCTACGAAAAGGGCATTCTCCATCTGAAATTTTAAATCGAAATGAAAGGCTGTTTTCAGCCTTTTATCTCTTTTCTCCGCAACGTATTTGGTTAAAAGATAGTAAGTAAAATGGCTGAGGCACTTTAAAGCATTTTTTTCATTTACGCGACGGATTTTGTCGTTATGTATGGTGGCCGACAACTGCCATACGTCAACACGACATAAATTTGTTAATTTTAGATTGAACTTTAATTATTTTGAATTGAAAATAAAACGAAAGAAAAACGTCAAATTATTTTGTTTTTCATTGAACTGGAACAGGAGCCCATCAGGCTCCTGACTGGAAATAGATTCATTTTGTAAAATTTCAAAACAAACTTTGTTATTATGAAATGAAAATAAAAATAAAAGTGAAATAGAAGCAGAAGTGAAACTAATTTGTTCACGGCCGGGAACAGCCATTCAAAACAGAAAAAGTAAAATTATTATGTTCGCGGCCGGGAACTACCATTCAAAACAGGAAAAGTAAAACTAGTATGTTCATGGCCGGGAACTGCCTTTTAAAACGGAAAAAGTAAAATTAATATGTCCATGGCCGGGAACTGCCGTTCAAAACAAACAAAAAGTAAAATTAATAGGTTCATGGCCGGGAACTGCCGTTCAAAAAAAAAAAAAAAAAAAAAAGAAAGAAAGAAACCTGAGACTTTTGGCGGGAGACGATAGTCTTCCTCGCAGCCGCTCGGGCTGGGGTCAACCAATTCTCCCCGCTGTCATACATTCCTTTCCCACTAACCTCGTTCAGTTAAGTGTTGACAGGCTAAATTCGTTCCCAGGTTGTCTCTCCGTTGGAGAGAATCCTGGGAACGAGGTTGCCTTTCTAGACGTCGACGGTTTGTTAAAGCTACAGAGGTTTTTTAGCTCATGGATGACGTAGTCATGCCATGGGCTTTTGGAGACACTCGAATGGCACTCGACCACTCACTCACTCACTCACTCACTCACTCACCCACTTACTCACTCATTCACTCGATTCTTATTAATTTATTCATCAAAGTCAAATTATACACTTTACTCTTACCTCCATTACTTAGCATTACTTTTGTTCAAAGTGCCTTTTACGCATATGTTTGGCATATTCTAGAGGGTACTAGTAAGGCGTACATTTTTTCCCGACACGAAAGAGTAGCCAGCCGAAGATGGGTTTTGTATAAATGGAAATATTCTAATGAAAACTGAGAATATCATATGTAAGAAATGGACTTGGAATTGTTAAAAGGACGTTGAAATAATTGAGCGCGGATCACTGTTGTATATTTGGACGAATTGTGCGCATTTGTTCGCCGATATTACTTGATATGGAGAAGATGCGATCGACAGAGTGTGAAAGAGCTATCGAAGCCTGACGATGTGATTTCCTTCAGCGAAAAGCAAATAAGCCAAAGAGTGACCAAAGAGCCTTAGCTACAAAAAACGGTCCTCGAATTGTAAAGCGGCGTTGATGTTTACATGAGAAAGCAAATTATTTTACAACTAAAAAGAGTTAATAAGCTTAAGGTGATCTTTGCGTTATTAAAAGAAATGCTGCACTGATAACAAGGTTCTAGAATATTCAGGTGCACATGCAATCGGATACTTACACTGTGTCGGGTTTGAATTCCTAAGGTCAGAACAAGTGCAGCTTTGGGCAAGGATCTAACTCCCTTAAATGCGTGAGTGCTATAGAGATGCCAACAAGTTACTATAGAAATGCTGACGAAATGCTTTTTAAAACAGACAATGTATGCCAAAAAGTAGATGCCAAAAAACAAATGCTAAATACCGTATGCCAAAAAGTAGATGCCAAAAAACAAATGCTAAATACCGTATGCCAAAACACATGCCAAAAATAAAATGCTAAAGAAAGGTAAACATTATCTATCAAGTAACCAACACACAAAGAAAGTCATAAAATATAAAGAAAGAAAAAACTAAGGAGAAAGTGAATATGTTACAGTGCCCAAGCAGTTTAAAACAAATGAATTTCGAAATGGAATGTTTCTCAAGCCTTCAAAGTTGCTATAAATACAGAGGTGATAATCTTCTTTTCCTTTATTTTCAACTCAAAACAAAACATTTTTATTATCAAATGAGAATAAAAATAAAAGTGAAATAAAAGCAGACGTAAAATTAATATGTTCACGGCCGGGAACTGCCAAATATGTCATGGCCGGAAACTGCCATTCAAAACAGAAAATGTAAAATTAGTATGTTCGTAGCCGGGAACTGCCGTTCAAAACAGAAAAGTAAAATTAATATGTTCATGGCCCGAAAGTGCCGTTCTTTGTGTCATTAGGCAAGTAGACTAGATCAAAGGCTCCTAGGAGCAAGCTCATGGATGAATTGAATCGTAAACGGGCATGGGTGCTAAGTGCCACTGCTCTGGAATTTGATTGAGTTTCGTTATTGTTGAAGATTATCACCTCTGTATTTATAGTAACTTTGAAGGCTTGAGAAACATTCCATTTCGAAATTCATTTGTTTTAAACTGCTTGGGCACTGTAACATATTCACTTTCTCCTTAGTTTTTTCTTTTTTTATATTTCATGACTTTCTTTGTGTGTTGGTTACTTGATACATAATGTTTACATTTCTTTAGCATTTTATTTTTGGCATGTGTTTTGGCATACGGTATTTAGCATTTGTTTTTTGGCATCTACTTTTTGGCATACATTGTCTGTTTTAAAAAGCATTTCGTCAGCATTTCTATAGTAACTTGTTGGCATCTCTATAGCACTCACGCATTTAAGGGAGTTAGATCCTTGCCCAAAGCTGCACTTGTTCTGACCTTAGGAATTCAAACCCGACACAGTGTAAGTATCCGATTGCATGTGCACCTGAATATTCTAGAACCTTGTTATCAGTGCAGCATTTCTTTTAATAACGCAAAGATCACCTTAAGCTTATTAACTCTTTTTAGTTGTAAAATAATTTGCTTTCTCATGTAAACATCAACGCCGCTTTACAATTCGAGGACCGTTTTTTGCAGCTAAGGCTCTTTGGTCACTCTTTGGCTTATTTGCTTTTCGCTGAAGGAAATCACATCGTCAGGCTTCGATAGCTCTTTCACACTCTGTCGATCGCATCTTCTCCATATCAAGTAATATCGGGGAACAAATGCGCACAATTCGTCCAAATATACAACGGTGATCCGCGCTCAATTATTTCAACGTCCTTTTAACAATTCCAAGTCCATTTCTTACATATGATATTCTCAGTTTTCATTAGAATATTTCCATTTATACAAAACCCATCTTCGGCTGGCTACTCTTTCGTGTCGGGAAAAAATGTACGCCTTACTAGTACTCTCTAGAATATGCCAAACATATGCGTAAAAGGCACTTTGAACAAATTTTTATTTTCATTTCATAATAAAAATGTTTTGTTTTGTTTTGAAAATTAACAAAATGAATCTATTTCCAGTTCAATGAAAAACAAAATAATTTGACGTTTTACTTTCGCTTTATTTTCAATTCAAAATAATTCAAGTTCAATCTAAAATTAACAAATTTATGTCGTTTTGACAAATGGCAGTTGTCGGCAACCATAGTTATGAAAAAGAACTTGTCAGTGAATTGGTTTATTTCTAGCCTGCGAACAAGTGCCGGGGGGTGGTGGCGGACAGAGCCAGGTGACTATTCCTTTTTTCAGGCGGGAGCTAGCAGTACGTGCATTCTGGTCTAACTCCATACTGTGTAGACTGGACAATTCGTCAACAGCAGGTTAAGGTCTCGCCAGAAGATGCCCTTGCTGCAGAGGAGCAAAGCAATACTACTTTCAGTAATTTAAACATGTTAAATACTTGTATTTCGCTCATCAAATGTGTCCATTGTCCATTGTCGATTTGTGGTTTACAGGAATGTTCTTTTGCGGAGCATTGGCCAATTTTCTTTAAACAGTTTTACTCGTTTCCATTCCCCTGCTCTACCTTCATGTTGCATATGGCGTACGTGTGTACCTAAATCCCTCAATTCATACTGAGGTGATCGATAAAGAAGTCTACACGCTAAGCGGGGTTAAGATTAGTTTATTACAAGCAAAGGCTCAGAAGGCTAAGTGCAAATAAAAGAAAACTAGTGTGAAAAGTTTTGCAGACTCGGCTTACTCTATTTGTTTTCTCTCTCTATTTGAGTTTCGGCTGGTGACATCCTAAAATCAAGTTTAGTTCCACGTGTTTTGGGAATATAAAATATAAATTAAAAAAACAGTGTTACCGGTAGTTGTCATTTTATTTTTTTCTTGTAGACTCGTGCGATGATTTATCCTTTTCTGTACAGTTGCGTGACCAGACTCAAATTACACACGGGCTTTCATCACGCATCACAGGGTTTAGTCCGAGGCTAAACGACGGAAGACTTCAGTAAACTGCGGCCACTTGCGATTGAAACGACTGTGGTAAGTAATTCTTAGAGATCTCGAATCCCATTTAGAACTAACACGCCGTTTCTAGCGGCTTCATTTTAGGTGCAGAAACTCGAGGTCAATATTTACACTCCATGAGAACTTAACAGCGTTGTCTTTTTCAGCTACTTGCGTGCAATCAAATGCAGTGTTAATCTACTTAGCTCTTTTTTGTAACCATCAAATTGAAAAGCCTTTTTCAAAAGGTTTTAAGAACTTCCCGTAATGTGCCCCTTGTAAAAGAAGCTAAGTTAGCAAAAAGTTTTGTGTACCCACACTCGCGGCTAGCTTGTTTTCAGCGTTCCAACGAGAGAAAATACGCTGCACGTTTCGGTGTCTCAGCGACGCACTTTTGTAATGCCGCCAAAAATTTTTTAACACAAGAAACGGCAAAGGATGTGCTTTAAAATAGTGTTTGTTTCATGTTGAAATTCCTTGTATCAATTGTTTTTTTCGAAGGTGAAGTTAGGTCAAATTTGCCATTTTTGAAAACAGGCGAAATCGTCTTTCTTCTTGCGGCCAACACAGTCACATTTAAACAGCTTATCTAAAGATAATTGCAGAATTATAAAGTACAAGTCTGTGTTTTCCTTGTGACTTGATTTCATTTAGAGATATCGTCCCGTTTTTATGTACGAGCGCGAAGAAAATGCTTAATTTTCGCTAATTTCATACTCGAAAGAGCGCCGATTTGGTGTTTTTCATACTTTGCCCGATTCAGGAAAAAATAAAAAGCCGTTACAAGTTTTAATGTGATTTTTGAAATAAGTGTACTATAGAGATTATGTGGGCAGAATATGAAGAAATTCAAAAATTCACGACTGTCAACCGATTCTCGAAAATTACAGACATTGGCTCTTAACTATTTGAATTAACAGTAATAAATAATGGCAAAGGTCGAAACTCGATAGCTGCTTTCGTAGAATCAATGCTTCCAGTTGACTGGACCAGTTTACAACGCAATGCCGCGCGAGGTAACATTCCACGATGGCCATTCCGTTAAAACGAAAGCAACAGGCAATATCTGGATGTATATGCAATCGAACTTGAAACAATCTCAGAACCAAGCAGATAAGCTCAAGAAACTTTCAGACGTCAAACGCAAAGTTAACTTCCGGTCCAGTCAAGTGGAGGCATTCATAAATCGAAAAGTCAGTAATCAATTTGTACATTTAATCTCTTAAACTGTTGTTGGAGTGAATTTCGTGAAAAAACCGCTCGTAATAGTTGAGTACGGCTTGAAAATAAATTGGTCCTCAAATTAATTTCATCCCTTGTCTCTTTTCTCTTACTCTCTCTTGAATTGTTAATAAATTAATAACCAACAATGAAACGCGAGACAATAATAACAGCACAGCAGTTTCAAGAATAGAACAAAACAGGTAAGATTTTCTCTCTTATTTAATTTCCATTTGCAGTTTACAAATAAGAGCGTGGGTTCCCTATGGTGCGAACGTCATTCAACTACATTTTCTCTTTTATCGTTTTTGTAAAGTAAACCAAAATCCATAGAACGTGTCTTCGGAATCTCAGGCAAAATGTAGTTTTTTTAAATCCTTAACACTCCCAGGCGGATTCACAAAAAAACTCTTCCAGTATCTCCAATTTGAACTTGAATTTGCACCACCATATCGTCACCTGCAGACTTTAAAAATAGAATACGCTCTCACGAAAAACCTGAAAACTTAAGCTTAGACAGCACATGATCAAAACATGTTCGTACGGCTCCGAAACGTTGTCAATTTCACGACAGAGACTAACCGACAACAATTCATTGGCCAAAACTGACAGGTTAAAATGTGAATTCGTGGCGCTTCAAGGATGGTCAGCACTCGTTAATATCCGTCGAAAGGCCCTCTCATCTTCGGTCGGATTTCGTAAACGTATGACGTCACGCTCGCTCGAAGTTTAAAATATGTGATTCATCCGCACTTCGATCGTCTATATCCATATCCGACTTGTTTGATTTTTGGTTAGGGGTTTTGTCCCAGTTTTTCGATCATTCCTCGATTGATTCCAATCAATTCAAACAAGAAGATGCCACTGCCTCCGTTTAAAGGATGTTTTGATGTTTCAAACCTCTTCTTACTCTACGGGGAAAAGGATCTTTCGGTGAATGTTACTGAATAACATCCTTTGAATGGCCCCAGATCTAGGTGACAATTATACATTATTACTTTCCTCATTGAATACATGTAAAGTGTAAAAATCTCCATACTTATATTTCACACTTGAGGAGAAGGATCAATATTGTTATTTATTTAATAATATTTCTGTCTGATTTTGTTAAAACGTGGCCACTGGGTCGGTTTAGCTGGATAGGCCAGGGACTGCCCTAACAGAGGGTGGGTGGATCAGGCCTGGGGGCCAAAACTAGTCGGTTAGAGAGGGGAGCTATTTTGACACAATTCCTTCAGTAAGTAGCAGTGTTCAATAGAGGCTTTGACTGGCAAGTACCTTGTTCTTAAGTTGCCCTAGCCACTGAGTTGAATCAGGCCCCTGCTGAGAATGATAATGTTAATAGCCTTAGTCTTTATTTTTATATTTTGCACGCATTGTCCCGCCTCGAATAACCTTGCTAGCTGCGGTCAATACTTCTGTAATTTTATCTGGTTATTAATTAAGTTTTGTTGCTGTTGTTGTTGTTGTTGTTGATAATTGCAGACCTTAGTGGGAGGCGCAGACAGTCACCCATTGCCCTGGGTGGGGAGGATCAAAGTCTTGGTACCAAGGAAACACTTAGCATAGGACCTGTAGACACTCATTGAAGCCATGTTTACATAAATTCAGTCAGATTTATTTATTAATCTATTTATTTAGGCCAGGAGCCCATGAAAATGTGCTTAAGGCACTTTGGTTTGAAGCCATTGATACTATGAAGTCTTCATCTACATGATGTCTACAAGTTGTTTCTAGGGAAAGGTTGCCTATCACGTCAATGGATTTGTTCAAGATTTTTTGAATACTTTTCTTTAACAGTACATCAAAATGAATGAATGGTGGAATCAATATTTTTAATTCAACTTGAGTACCCCTCAGAGTTTTGACTGTGCTTTTTGTTGTTTTGTCAAAAGTGTCCTGTAAAAACTGAAAGGGAAGGGTCTAGAGAATTTGGAAGTGGTATCTTCCCATCTGCATTAGCCCTTCCCTCTCTAAAGGCATATCATTCATTCTAGAAAGAAAGAAAATGCTCTGTCATTCGATCAATCAAGTAGAGCAGATGCCATTTAATTTCATGAAGCAAAAACAAACAGGGAAAAATAATATTATTCAACAGTAAGATTGTTTTTCTTGTTTGATCATCAATAAACTTCCCTTCAGTTTTCTACAAGCGTTATTGACTGTGTGATTTGACTGGTGGATTGATTTATGGTGCCCTCTTGATCCTCCTTTCTCTCTCCATATGTTTATTTGTTAACTTATTCAGTAACATAGTGTTGACCAAATTACTCTTGAATTATGCTTCTTGTGAAAGGCATCTGTTCAACCGAAGTGCCCCATGGAGATAGGAGTATTTGCCACCTATGATCTATCATGTAGGCAACTATTCTGCAAAGAATTTTAGGTCTTATTTGACCTCTATATGGATGTTTGTTACCAACAAAAGATGTCTTTATACTTACAATAGTTTGGAAATGCAGATTTTTAACATAGAAATTGCTGTGAACCCAGATTAGTGTCTATTAGTAAGAGGTACATGTAAGCTTATAGGAGGTGTCTGTTAACAGAGGTTCTGTACAGTACCTGATGGAAATTGGGATTTTTTCCCCTGCTCAAGCTCTGTGCAAACTAAATGTCATACATGTTGATGCTACCACTTAAAACAGTAGTTTAAGAACATGAGTGATGTTCAGAATACTGAAAGGTCAAAAATATTACTTTGTCTAACAATGTAAATTATAATAATTAGAACGTACCATTACTATTACATTATTATTGTACAATTACAATATTACAGTCATCATTATTACAAATTTTGGCAATACTACGTAAAATATGCTTACCATGCAGACAAACTCAGCCACAGTCATAGCTGCGGTGGTGGTAGGGAAGGGTGGGGGAGGGGGGGGTCGCCCCCAACCCCCTTCCGTACCACCACTGCTGCCATGTTTCTCAACCCAAATTGGTCAAGTGGAATTGTTGTAGCATCCAGGGCGTACGTTTTCTACCCTCCGACGACTCAAGAAGCACCATGAAGCAGGATCGTTTTAGCCTTTGTTTGAACAACTACCTACTTATGCGTACCCAACTGTCGATTGCGGATTCCATAGACACTGTTAAGATCTCAAAGAGGTTTGCTTGTGCCAACGAACTTAACAAATGGTATTTTGGGAATGGAGTAGGGTTATGGTCAACGGCCCTCTTTGTATATGATAATTTATGACATAACAAAAGTAAATGGCGCGCTCTGATTGGTCAGTTAGCCACTACCATTTGCCCGTGGGTGCACGCCAAGAAACTGAGCTAGCGCGGTAAAATTTAGGCAAATTCAACAAATCTCGTCTCCTGACGGTAAAATACACTGATGAAATGCACAGATGAAAAGTGGAAGTTGAAGAAAATACTAAGCTGTCGTTTTGAAGGAAAAAAGACAAAAGATCAAGCGGCAAATTTGCCCTGGGTGAATTAATCACTGTTTTCCTCGAGGCTAGAATCGGTTGAAGGAAAATCGAGCGAGCGAAGATTTAAGGTACATTTTGTGTGTTTTTTATAGAAGAGAAAGTCTGTTCGAAATGTAAATTTCTCAATTAGCATTGTGTTGTTGACTTTTTGGTCAAGCTGATGCTAAATTCAAGCAAATATTTTAGGAAACACGCTCAAATTCAAGACAGCTTTGTTGTGAAGTTTAATTTCATCGCATCTATGAAAAATTTTAGTTGAGTTTAAACGGGCACACTACGCTGTAATAAGCGAATTTCATTTGAGCATTTGAGTGTGTATTATTTTGTTCCTCGGTGTTCATTCATAACAGTCGTTCAGAGAAAGGTCTAAAAACAACAGCTTCAGCGCCGGCTGTTTGTCGGCGAATTTCAGTTGCAACTTTGACTTTCGTAGCTGGATTTCCCCAGACAGATTTCGATACAAAGCTAGTTAATTTCTTTTTAAAATTAGTGTTACCTGTTATTCTAAAGGAATTACAGTCACATTTTCGCATTTCTACGTTGATTTAAAAAATTGTCACATAAATAACAGGGGCACCCAACGAGAATATAGTTCAAAACCACTTAAACATAGCATTGTTAAACGTATTTTAGTATTTAAAAGGTAGATATAGGCATATTTTTATTCCTTAGAAATTTTTAATCTGTTCGGATTTCCTAGCTGAAAGTCTAGTGATCCGAAAATGATAGGGATCAAAATTTACCTTTTCAAAAATTTCAGCCAGAAAAAAGGCTCCCGAAAATTCTAGGTGACCTTTTAAGGGTTAAAATCCGTTAAAAATGGGCAATTATAACATTTTTTAGAAGTTCGAAAATCCTAAGGAGAGGCAGGCAAGCAAGAAATTTTACAGCAAATGTTACGAAAATTCTAGATCTCAAATCGTCTTCCGAACAGATATTTTCCGAAAATTGTCGTTGGGTGCCCCTGAAATTAGCTTGATAGTTATTTCATTTATTCAGTTTTAGCTTATTTTTTAGAGTCTTTTTAGTTGGTGTTTATAGTTGTAGCTATAGTTTTCCCTCAAAGTTTTTACCCTAATATCAAGAGCAAGTAGACAGATGCCATTCAGAATAACAACGAAAAACGTTTTGCAATTTACCTGAAGACGGAGAACGGTTGATTGAGCGAAAGAAAAACTCAAAGGGGCGGGCAGATGGCAGCATACATGAACTCGGACCGATGACTCAACCGAAGGCAAATGCTGGAAAATAATGTTTTTCTCTTTTGATTATGTTATAAAAGAAATGGTAAACGTTGCAGCTGTACAACCATGGAGTTATGGATGCACTTGGGAGGTTTGCTAAGCACTCAAGAAGCTAGAGTCGCACTCCGCTATCGCCTCGTGCGACTCTTACGCTTCTTTCGTGCTTAACAACCTCCCGCGTGCATCCATAACTCCATGGTTGCACGCTGCACGTTTACCATTTCTTAAATAGCTACTACTCACCTGTGCCTCCAAAGCCTTTGCTGGCCTTTTTGCACGAAAATTTTATGGTACTTCGAGTCTCAAAATCTTCGATTAGCTTGTGGGCTTCTTTAGCAGATGAAACAGAATATAAATTATCAGACAACTTAGTGCAAGCTTTGACTTTCCGTTGTTTAATGTTGGCATACTTCGCTTTCTTTTGCTCTCTCTCTTTTTCTACTGTTTTTTTGTGTGAATGTTTTGTGTAGTGTGTGGTGTGCGGTCCTGACCCTTTAATATAACCATTTATTAATAACCTAAGTTAAGGCTGCCCTATCTTTTTAGCCCTCAATGGCTATTATGGGTAGCCTGTACTCTCTCCATATTTCTTTCCAATTTTTTTTTCTCATGTAAATCAATGTAGGGTACAAATAAAGTTGTTGTTGTTGTTGTTGCAAACATTCATTGTTATTCGACAGAGACAGACATTAAACACAAGGATAATTCTCTGTATTTTGTATTCCCACCAATATTTGAAAAAGTTGTTAAAGGAGGCAGCTGTTCGATTGAGTTTTATTTCCTTGTTCGTGTAATTCTTCATGAATGCCATTCCAAGGGATGTTACTTGGTAACATCCGCTGAAAGCACCTTCTTGATGCGCGAAGAGGCTTGATCGAGGCGAAACATTAAAATATCCTTTCCAACAGATGCAGTGGCATCTTCTTGGTTTAACCAATCGAGGGATGATCGAAAAAGCAAAACAAGACCTCGAGCTATTGTTGAAGTATGGTATCGAGGGTTAAACTTCCAAATGCACACACTGTTCGCGGTAGGCCAACACTAAAATAACACTGAGTGTTTTTATAATCGGCTGGTCTGCGAACTCAAAGAAAAACAAAGGAAATTGTCAAGACATTCAAAGACCATGGACCTCATAGACGCAATGACAAATCGGAATGTCGAGAGTGTACGTGTAAAATCAATAAGAGTTTGAACAGAAGAATGGGTATCAAGTTTGAGAGTGGCAAGATTTGTGTAGTTGGTGATCAGTGTGACAATAATGATTTTGACTTTCACAATACGGAAAACAGAGAGTTGCATGCGATAAAAATATCTTCCGTTGATGGAAGAGAAGATTGTCAACATATTGAAACCAAAAGGGACTCAAGCTTGTTTGGGAACTACTATGATAGCAGTAACAATTCTTCTTATTCTTTCAATTTTGTTTAGCGAGTGACTGTTAATGTACTTGTTTTTGTATTGCGCGTTGTGTTTTTCATGTAATTGTGTATATTGTGACGTGCGTGGTACATGTACGATGCTCGGCGTCGGGATTTTGCATTATCAGCAAGTTTTGTGTTAAGAGTGTTTTGATGTCAGTGAGGTGACGACAAGAAAAGGTAATGAGTCAATTGTACAGAAGGAAAATTGTTTTGCGGAGGAAATAAATGGATCAACCGATATGAAACCATAAATTATTTTGAAAAAAAAAAAAAAACCATATCTAGATACTCGTGCCAGAATGTTAATGGGATAGTTAAATTACAGCATTTTTTTCTCTCGTACTCTATTCGGCACGCATTATGGTGTAAACAGCGTACAGTTTCCCTTACATCAGGGTACTGAAAATAAGTTACAGCATTTTACTCCTCGCACTGCGCTATTCGGCACGTAGCATAAAAGTTACTTTAGTTTAATATAAAAGTTAAAATGGGTTGAGACGTTCTCCATCTTGTACTAAATTTGCCATGCCCGTAAATCGTGTTATAAAAGGCTGGGACTGCGTGATTTTTGACTGAAATTGAAAAAGAAAAGGAAAAACAAAAATTTTCCCCTGTCCTGTGTACCTACTTTTCGCATTTGCTATATCTTTATAAGGAAGTTGAAATTAAGGTGTTTTGATATGGTTTTTAAGAGGCCATACCCATATTTTTCAATAGCTTTTAAAGTGACTAAACCTTGTCTGATCGCTATAAAATTTTCACCAGGGATTGACTATAGATTAAAATTTGTTAAAATGAAGGTCTTAGTAAAATCGATTTTACTATGACAACAATAAACAAAAAACTTTGAAACTGATAAAAGTCTAATTTGACGCGATCAAGACCAACTACTGAAAATCCAACACTAGGAACTTAAAGTTTGGTGTTTAGCAAATAACCTACGTAAGAAGCAAAAAATTTTGTATGTTTGAATTCGACTAAAACGAAAATATATTTCAAACCTTACATTCTCAACAGCCGTGATAGATTATTTGATAAAAACGTTATGAATGACTCATATTATTCTTAAGTAGCGTCAGAATGCTGCTTAATATCATATTTCGATGCTAGGAAATTTTGGTCTATTTACGTTCTTGCGATCTTAAAAACTAACCCCTGTTTTGACGTTATGCTAATTTTTCCAAATTAATGTCGACAATACATATATCCATGACTATTACATTTCAGTGTGAGTATTGCGAATGTTTTACATTCAAAAGATGCGATACATTCAAACTAAAATGTACTAGTCGTGGAGGTATGTATAGTGCGCAAACACACGGAATTTTTTACTTCTTACAGAGATTGTTTGCTAAACACCAAACTTTAAGTTCTTAGTGTTGGATTTCCAGTAGCTGGTCTGGATCATACAAAATTCGGCGTTTATCAATTTCAAATTTTTTTGTTGATTGTTGTCATAGTAATATCTATTTAACTTAAAACTACATTTTCAAAAATTTCAACCCACAGCCAATTTATTTACTGGTGAAAATTTTATAGCGATCGGACAAAGAAAAAACTAGCCTCCCACGCAGACGTTCTTATGGGTTCGTCATGCGTTCCCACGAACGTCTGCTGAACCAAAAAATATATTCCTTTCCCACTGTTCGCAAATATCAGCTGGAGATCACATGCAGATTATCGAAGATCCAATCAGCGCTGTTGATGTCAAAGTGTTGAAAAGCCAAACACTTACGTACAGGCTCTGCAGATTGTGATATATGACCAAAGATTTTTGCTCCGGACGAGAATCTAGGAGATAAGCGTTGGCTTTTTGTATATTTCTCTCTGTAAAGGCTGGATTAGATGTCCTTTGTTAATTAAGTTGTTCTTTGGGTGATGCAACGGCGGGGTTACCTTGTAAGACTGATTTGCCTTGTAAGGCAGATTTTTTTTTTCACACGTTATTGTTTTGTAGTAAAGCCGACTTCCGTTCAGCAAATTTAACCTCCGAGGTCATATTTTTTAATGAGATTGTGAGGGTAGCCTAACCACCTTTAAGGCGATTGAAAAATATCGGCATGTCCTCTGAAAAACTGTATCGAAACACCTTAATTTGTATTAAAATTTTACGTATTCTGAGCCTTCATTTTGTGACTTTTGAGAATGTGTGACAGACGTTAAAATTTGGCCTAGTTGGATGCCGTGTTAAATTTCACCCTACGGACACCGCGGGTGAACATGTTACCAAATGTCATTGTAGTCCTGTAAGCGTTACAAAGAATCATGGGAATAGGATTTCAGCGTATTTATGGATGTTCTTTGAAACCAGTCGTGAAATGTATTTTACTGAAACAAGTAAATAAATAAACAAAAAGTATTACTTTAAAGAGCTCAGTCGTGTAATTCTTGCAATCATCTACGGTCGTCTAAGCCTTTTTACTCATTTGAGTGGTTTCGGCTCTCATCATGTCATGGAAATTGTTATCGCGTCGACTCAGGAATTTCATAATTTGTCATATTATGCTTCGTACTCTTTTTGGCACGGTACTCGATTCGGCACTTTATAATGATTTTGCTGAGAAAGACAACACCATAAATTTACACAGATTTGTAAGAAACCCCCTGTGCTGTGAACAAGGTTTTGTGAAGTTTTGTCCGCTCTCCAGCCGAGTGTTATTTTATTTGAGAGGTGAAGGTAGAGGTGCTGTCAGTGGAAAGCCTTCGGTATCACATAAACCATTATTCAAGAAATATATTCTTTGATGTGTGCATCAAAAAGTATTTGGAAAATAGTTATTGTGAGTTATTTTGCTGCTAACGTGGGTGAATTACTCCTTAATTTCGATTAACTGGGTCGCGAAAATTTCAATGTTAACTTACAATTTCACCTCTGAAATACCTAATTAAAACTTTAAAACTGTTTTGGCAACGTTCCATGATCTCATATGATATTAAAGGAGAGGTCAGTTTGACACTGTAGGAAACCAATTATACGAAAGAGCACAAATTTTAACAGCAAGAATGATTCATGGAGGTGTTTCGTCAAAAAAATTATTATTGATAAATAAGTGTTATTTTTTATGCATTTTTGCTAAGACTGCATTTGCTGATACGATAAATATTTAATTCACCAAAATCGGTTTTCGTAATGCAAACGATCAACGATGGCGGGCGGTAAAAGGGAGAAGAAAACGAAAATGGAAAAATTCCGACCCATAGAAAGTCATAGTCTTAAATAGTGGAATCAAAATACATGGCAGAGCGACAGTCAGAGCGTAAAACGCGCAACTGGCTTGTCCCTCCTGGCACTCAAGTGTGTAATGCTTTACCGTGCACGCTGATTGGTCAGCTAGTAGGTGATTGATTAGCTAAGTACTATTCACTTCCATCTCGGTGAATAATTGTTAATTAGTTGAGAACCATGTTTCAGTTATTTGTTCGATACGCTATACCAGCCTTCGGCCAACGAATATTAAGTACTTTCGATTTTTTTAAAACTATCAAAGTTGGGCTAATGTATTTGAATGTTGTCTTTGATAATAACTATTAGTTGTATTGGTGGTGATATATTCCAAATTAGTCAAATAATGTCAGATGATTTCGTAGCTACAATGTTTATAATAGGCAAAGATAATTTATAAAGACCTTAGAATGATTCACTGCACGTTTAACTTAACAGGTTTGTCAAGTAGACTTTCGACTAGAGGAAATGCTGCCGCGGCTTGCGTGTGTGGTTTAAAGGTAGGCGAAGCCTTGTTTTGGGGAGTGAATGTGACAATGGGTCTCATTTTGGGTTGCTCATACCAGTTACGCGAAACATCCTCAACATTTGGAGAAAATATTTCTTAAAAAAAACTCTTTACCTCGATACCACTTTTCCCGGATGGAGCAGACCGATGGAATTTCCTTTCCCATTTGACATTTTTCCTGCTTCCAGTCTCGATTTTTCGGAAACAAACATTTCGACAGCGTTGCATATATATTTTATAATGCTGTGCTTGTTTTAATTGCAGCTGCCACGTTTAGTTCACTCTGCAACATTGTTTTTATGTAAGTGTGACAAGTGGTAAGTTAACTCCTATTTCATAGTTTTGAGAGATCTTATTTGAAGTATTTGAACTAAATTACCTACATTTTAAGATATTGATATTGTTTAAGGTTCAGGCCACAATCGTCAGTATTTCGTCGCCACCGAAGAGGGTTTAAAATATCAATTGTAAGAGCCACATCTCATCCCATCGGAGAAGTCGTACATTTAAAAGAGGACCCAAAAGGTCCCCCTGGACAGTACAGTCCATATAGCAGGACCAACCTTTCAACTGGGTTTGAAATTTTCAAGCGGATAATGTCGCATGGAACATTTTTTTAGCTTGTAAAAAACCCACTAAGAGCCATTAACAAATTGCTTGCCCTGGTGTGTGTGGGTGGGGCTGGGGTAGGGGGGGGGGGGGGGGGGGTGGTTGAGATACTCCTAGGAGTATCTCTGGTGGCAGTTCTTCATACGCCATCGTGGTTCCTTTGAAAACCATACCCGACTTCAGACAATAATGAGCAAAATCTAGACCCGTCTTCAGACCGACAGGGCTCAAAAACCATAGTATACCAACATAGCTTATAGCGGAGCTCGACGCGCACGCGAAGCGCGCGCGTGGGCGGAGCCCCATTGCTAAGTAAATCTACCCATCCCAGAAAATTTGGTAATCACGTGACCGTACACCGACCGCCCGTCCGTCCACACCACAGGAAAACCAATGTTTACTCTCACACTTTTAGCTAGTTTGGGAGCCCAAGAGAAAACTAATTGCACAGCCTGCACCTCAATGTTGTGATCAATTGACAGCTATCAAAACAGGGCATCCGCTGACCAGTATCACCTGACCGTACCGCGGGCTCAAGTGTCGACCCATCGAGGTCGAGTATTTTTTAAAGTTATCCGTTGACAAATTACCGGTTTCAAATGATCGCAGGCTCAAGTTTATTTTTTCCAAGGATTCATATCAAATATGTTGTGTTTATGTCACTATGGCCCCGCACTATTAGGATTTTGATTTCAAACTGACCTCGGAAGCGAAAATTCATCCAGTTTTTTTTTAAAGTACAGGCGGGGAAGACCTTATCTTACCATGGTCACGCGTTGGTCACGCTCTACGTCCAATTTTTATACTCTGATTGGTCAAAATTTGACAGGTGAGTTCATGCGGAAAAATTATGCAGCATCTTGAAAGTAGTTTACTTTGACAGCTGAAGCTGACAGAGTTTTGTGTCAACTTGTGATGTTTTTAACTGCCTTTTTCCTCTGGATGTACAAAATGAAATACAGCTGCTATCAAGAGTCTTCTGTTATTCATGACTAGTTTGTTTACAGGGTTTTGGTTGAGAAATGCCTCGCTTGTCAAAATTCGGTAATTCGATTTCGGATGGCATCGTTTTCGTTTTTCACCTTGCTTAATGCGTAAGAGGGTTTAAAAGTCTCAAGCAACTGTGGCCTCCCTTGATAGCTTTCAGGAACTGAATCTCGAATGGTAAGCCTAAGCAATTATTGTATTTGATGTTTGTATTTCATGAAGTCTTGCACAGTTCACGCTGACAGTTTATGCGGCAAGTTTATGCACGTTTGTAGGATTTGAGACAATGATCTGAAGATATATTTGCTCACCACAAAGAAAGAAAACGTTCCGAAGAATACTTAGTTATAAATTTGGCTGTAGAAAGAAAACTTTGAGCGGTTTTCTTGCTTCGAGGAGTTCCCCTTCGAAAACAGTAAACACCGCGCCGGGAAACCGGCTAAAACATAAACTTAAGCTTTACGCTTAAAGATTCAGGATTTTTAGTGACGCTTTAATACTTGTCTTCGTGAATGAAAATTGTTGTCTCTGTAAATGTTTCACGGAATTATATCTCTTTTTTTGATTGTTAGTAGTCTCTCTTGCAATTTTAATCGCTTGTCCGAGCCGTTTGTTTTCATCGTTCATGACCATCGCTTGCAGGAGTACTCAAAAATGTCGCGCGTATCAAACGCTTTATAAAATTACTCATCGTTATAACTGAAACCATTAAATAACAAAACAAATAATAATAAAATCGCTATTATGTTGAAGCGTAACTCTGTTAAAGTTCATTCAAACACTCGACCACACTGACAGCTCGCACTATAGAAACGAGAACCAGCTGGCCGTATGGGTGATTTTGGAAATTTTCTGAAATTTTTGAACGGTTTAGCTCGTCCTGAATATTGACTGAGTGCAATTTGTCTTGAAAAATTGTGAAATACCGCATTCTGTCCGAGCTCTGTATGATAAATAGTACTGTTTCACCTCAAATGTGGTGTATACAAATTATAAAAGGCTGGTTTAAACACCCCCAGATTTGTTGGCAAGAATTTGTAAAGCAAACCTGTCGAACGCAAAAAAATTTGGCGTGATTTGTTTTCCAAGAATTTGTTTTCGAGGCCTAATCTACTGTAATCTTGAATGTGATCGAAGATGTTTGCTATTTTTTGAGTGTACATATAAGGTTATCAATTCGATGTAAGATGTTTCACTCTAAAATAACTTAGCCTTTCAGCGTGCAAAGAAAGTCGTGTCCGATAGCCCGGGGCTAGTGGATTTTGCTATCGGGCTAGTGACTTCTGTTTTTAACTTGCCCGACGGGCAAGTGATGTTTTTTGAGGAATTCGAACAACAGAAGAACTGTGAAACCAATTCTGCTTGTCAAAAAGCTTTTGGGGCTAGTTGAAATGAAGTCTGGGCTAGTAAATGCTAGCTTCAGCTTGCCCGAATAACAAGCTGTAAAAATGAGTTTCTTTGCACCCTGCCTTTCCCTCAAAAGTCACATGAATGTGCCCTTAAGTTAAATGATTTGTGGATTAAAAGTTTATTGTGTTTGATTTAAATTATAAATTTATTAAAATTGGAGCTTCGCTTTTAGCCCTGGCTAAATCTATTTATTATATAAACTGCAGTGTTTTACAAGGATTTCTACCACCGAGAAATGTGGTATCTGAACACACGTAAAAATACGATATTTTTACATGTGAAGATATCGATAATTTCACTGACATCAGGTTTGTCTCTTAAATTGTACTTAAATTCGTTGGTGTATCATCGAAACATCTTCGGGTCTTCCTCGAAAGTGCTCGGCAATCTTCGGAAATCTTCGGACATCTTCGGAAATTTTCGGAAATTCTCGGAAAATGTTCGGGAACGTTTCTCTGGTCTTCGGGACAATTTGAAAAATCTTCGGAAATCTTCGGAAGGTGGTCGGAAATCTTCGGAAAATCATCAAAAACGCCGTCATTCTCGTGGCAAGAGCAATATCTCACTCGTTCGCTGCGCTCACTCGTGAGATATTGTTCTTGCCACTCGAACATAAAATTCATATCTTCTCGCCACCGTGTAATATTCTCTATATATTATATTGGAGTAGCCCTCCCCGTTGGGTTAATGGTCAGTAGGAATCGATGAGAATTTTGCTATGATATATAAAATTTCAACGCATCAGATGTGTACTTGCAGAACATGGTGCTGTTTACAAGCCTTTTTTGAGGTTTTGTCTGCTCTCAAGCCGAGTGTTTTTGTAATTGCGTTATTTGAAGGAATTGCACTGTGAAGGTACTATACTACAGCCAAATCTGTCGCAGTTTCAACTGAAGAATGTGCGGTTTTCGGTATCAAAAATCCATATCAAGAAAGGTATGACGCATCTCTAATGTTTTGTGCATGGAAAAAGCATTTGGAAACTACTATAGTCATTGCGTGTTGTTTTGCTGCTTTTTAATATTGTAAAATTCAAAATCCTCATATTTTATAGATTTTCAATTTGTAGCTAAATGTCGTGGGTCGTGGGTGTGGGCAAATGAGTGGGTAAAAAAAGAATAGAAAAACGATAAAGTAAAGCAATTGAAAAAACAAATTATGAAACGAAAATCTCCGACTCCTTTTTTGCCCTTTTCACAGCTTCTTCTTCGTCCTCTTCCTGATACGGCCTTAGCCAAGTGGGGCTTGGCTCTCCTCCCACAACATCACTGTATAAAAGACATGTTGCCGATAAAGATTTATCGGGGTCTGAGCGATCGCCGCGAAATAAACGAAACAGATTATTATATACGTTATGAAGATTATGTGAAGGGATTTTTAAAAAATTCGTTCGAGTCGTTTTAGAGATATACAAAAAGGCGCTAAAAGTCCAAATTCTGAATGAAGTTGCACTTATACAGGTGGTAAGAAAATCGGTTAGTTTTCAAGATCGCATGAACGAAAATACACCAAAATTTCCTAGCATTAGTATATGATATTAAGAAGCATTCTGATGCTTCTTAAGAATAATTTGAGTCATTTATAACGTTTTTATTAAATAGTCGATCACGGCTATTGAGAATTTAAGGTTTGAAATATATTTTCGTTTTTGTCGAATTCAAACGTACAGAATTTTTTACTTCTTACGGAGATTGTTTGCTAAACAACAAACTTTGATTAATTTTCATTAATTTTCAGTAGCTGGGCTAGATCAGACGAAATTCGGCTTTTATCAATTTCAAAGTTTTTTGTTTATTGTTGTCATAGTAATATCGATTTAACTTAAAACTACATTTTCAAAAATCTCAATCCATAGCCAATTGCTGGTGAAAATTTTAGAACCATCGGACAAGGAAAAAAACACTTTTAAGGCGATTAAAAAATATCGGCATTGCCTCTGAAAAACTGTATCGAAACACCTTAATTTGTATTAAAATATTACTTATTTTGAGATAGTCCTCATTTTGTGATAGAGAATGTGTGACAGACGTTAAAATTTGGCCTAGTTGGATGCCGTGTTAAATGTCACCCTACGGACACTGCGGGTAAACATATTACCAAGTGTCATTGTAGTCCTGTAAGCGTTACAAAGAATCATGGAAATAAGATTTTAGCATATTTATGGATTTTTGTTGAAACCAGTCGTGAAATGTATTTTACTGAAACAAGTAAATAAATAAACAAAAAGTCTTACTTTAAACAGCTCAGTCGTGTAATTCTTACAATCATCTAGGGTCGTCTAATTTTTTTTTTACTCATTTGAGTGGTTTCCGCTCTCATCATGTCATGAAATTTGTCATCGCTTCGACTCAGGAATTTCATAATTTGTCATAATTTATGCGTCGTACTTATTTTGGCACGGTACTCGATTCGGCACTTTATAATGGTTTTGCTGAGAAAGACAACCCCATAAATTTAAACAGATGTGTAAGAAACTCCCTGTGCTGTGGACAAGGTTTTGTGAGGTTTTGTCCGCTCTCCAGCCGCGTGTTATTTTATTTGAGAGGTGAAGGTAGAGGTGCTGTCAGTGGAAAGCCTTCGGTATCACATAAACCATTAATTAAGAAATACATTCTTTGATGTGTGCATCAAAAAGTATTTGGAAAATAGTTCTTGTGAGTTATTTTGCTGCTAACAGCATGGGTGTATTACTCCTTAATTTCGATTAACTGGGTCGCGAAAATTTCAGTGTTAACTTATAATTTCTCCTCTGAAATACCTAAACTTTAAAACTGTTTTGGCAAAGTTCCATGCTCTCATATGATATGAATGGAGATACACGAAAGAGCACAAATTTTAACAGCAAGAATGATTCATGCAGGAGTTTCGTCAAAAAAATTATTATTGGTAAATAAATGTTATTTTTTATGCATTTTTACTAACACCATTCGCTGATACGATAAATATTTAATTCACCAAAACCGGTTTTCGCAATTCAAACGATAAACGCCGGCGGGCCGTAAAAGGCAGAAGCAAACGAAAATGGAAAAATTCCGATCCATAGAAAGTCAAGTCTTAAATAGTGGAATCAAAATACTTGGCAGAGCGACAGTCAGAGCGTAAAACTCGCAACTGGCTTATCTCTCCTGCCACTCAAGTGTGTAATGTTTACCGTGCTCGTTGATTGGTCAGCTAGTAGGTGATTGATTAGCTAAGTAATATTCACTTCCATCTCGGTGAATAATTGTTAATTATTTGAGACCCATGTTTCAGTTATTTGTTCGATATGCTATACCAGCCTTTGGCAACGAATATTACTGAAGTACTTTCAATTTTTTAAAAACTATCAAAGTTGGGCTAGCGTATTTGAATGTTGTCTTTGATAGTAATTATTAGTTGTATTCGTGATGATATATTCCAAATTAGTCAAATAATATTAATGTCACATGATTTTCTAGCTACAATATTTATAATAGGCAAGGATAATTTATGAAAACCTTGGAATGATTCACTGCACGTTTAGTTTAACAACAGGTTTGCCAAATATACTTTCGACTCGACGAAATGCTGCCGCGGCTTGCGAGCGTTGTTTGAAGGTAGGCGAAGCCTTGTGGTGGAGAGTGAATGTGACAATGGGTCTCATTTTGGGTTGCTCATACCATTTGCGCGTAACTTCTCAACTTTCGGAGAAAAAAAATTCTTAAAAAAAACTCTTTACCCCGATAGCACTTTTCCCGGATGGAACGACCGATGGAATTTCCTTTCCCATTTGACATTTCTCCCGCTTCCAGTCTCGATTTTTCGGAAACAAACATTTCGACAGCGTTGCATATATATTTAACTAGGAGTAATCGGAGCTTAGGAGAGTGCGTTCGATATGTTTGTTAGGCATACAGGTAGCAGTTGAGGGGGAAGCCTAGGGTGGTTACGATATAGATAAATATGATTATGGCATATTTTGAACGTAAGGGTTGCTTACAGCGAAACCTCTATTTAAACTGTGTATCATTATAAGAAGGGTTTTGAAAAGATATCGTTGTAAAGTACTTGCAGTCGGAGGAGATATTGGCCAGAGTGCGTCGGGCGTGTAATTAAATAGAACATTGTGTTTTACTGGCGCGAGTTACAGGGCGCAGTTGCTCAAAGGCCGATTGGTGCTTAACCCAGCATTCTTTATCTTTCTTCTAAAACATTTCTTCGGATAATTTTCTCTGTTATTTTTAAGAGCATCCAATCATCAACTTGTTGACAAAATGAATTACATTGAATTTACTGTTTTAAAGCATGCACCAGGAATCGCAGACTTTTTCCAAAGACAGTGATAAAGTAAATTAAAGAGATCATTCATGAAGATATTGAAGAAAAGGGGACCAAGGACTGACCCCCTGCGGAACCTCCTGTTTAACTGGCATCTAAGTAGAAACATTGCCGCCAACTTTTACTCTTTGTGGCCCTCCAGTTAGATCATACTGCATCAGAGCAATGCCAGGTTCCGCTACTCCATACGCCTTCAGCTTAGCCAGGAACAAACCAGGAGCGGATATTTTAAGTAGCTTCGGATGTAACATATCATGTCCACAAGATTTGTGACTCTTGATAGAAGATAGTAGCTGTTCCATTTGAGTCACAGAGATGAGTTTACCGGCTCAATTCTAGAAGTTTCTTTCTCCGCTTTGTTGTGCTTTAATGCCCTAATACTAGGATGTTCAATAAAATCAGCACTATAATCCATTTTTGTAGTTTCACCAGCATCTCCCAAAAAGTTTACGAAATAGGCATTGAAAAGCTTTGCAGGCACTTTTATGTGATAAAGGATAAAGGATAAAGGTGTCGTGTTCTTTAAGTATAAAGTCGTTTGCTTGGTGAGCGTTCCTAGAGTGAAGAAATGGACGGTACGTTCTGCAAATATCTGCCGGGCTCTGAGATCGTCCCGACATTTAAGATAGAATAAAGAGTTTAGGCTCATGACGTTACTGCTCTCACAAAGTTATAGCCTCAGAAGTCACACCAGTTCAATCCTGTTTTAAGACAAAAAGATTCCATAATAGTGTTCTTATTTTTATTGTTTTTTAATACACTGAAGGTTTTAACTTGTTAAGGCCTGGTTGCCGAGTGGCTAACACATCGAACTCCGAATTTCTAGGTCCGCGGTCAACCTTTCTCTTCGTGTTGTTTCCTTAGACAGTCTAGACAAGATACTTTGCTTTACTTTGTCTCTCTTTATCTAGATGTATGAATGGGTGACGGTAATATAATATCGCGGTATCCACAATTTTATGAACTACAAGTCCTGTAAAACGAATATCTAGATTTCTTATACACTGCAGAAATGTAAAATCGGAAATGGCGTCACTGCATCGCCGATCCCTAAAACTTCCCTTTTATGTAAACTCAATATTTAATCTTAAAGTGGGTATGATTCGATTATCGACTTCGTTTGGGGTATATTTGTATTCAAACAGGGAGCTTCCTTATAACATTCTCACTGGTTTATTTTTTTTTTAATTTTAATTCCCCGATACATGTACCTGTACATGTAAAATAGTATCAACAAGATCGCTTTTATTTTTTTGTTCAAGTCAATGCGCTTCTAAAGCGTCTTGGTTTTTTTCAGTACTGACAGCGGTCACTGGCCAATACGGAGTGTTTTAATTGTTTTTGCTTTTTACTTTCAAGCTGGCCAGTTAGAGCGGGTGTAAAGCCCTATTCATTGTTGTAGTCCATACAGACGTTTCTTACCATTTTTGCCTCCCATTGAATTGCAGGTAGTCTGTCTTTGGTGGTAAAACTTCTTCCAATGGAACCAACATCTATTTTTCAATTGGATAGTGGTCGTCCACCGATTGATAACCTACAGGGAAATATTTACAAGACTATAAAGAAGGGGAATTTAGATGAATTAAGGCACTTGCTCAGTTCATCTGAAGGAAAAATCGATCTTAATTATCTGGACAGTTCCAGCAAAACAGCTTTACAAGTGGCAGCTGATCTGGAAGATTCTTTCGTTCGAGAAAGAATAATTACAGCGCTATTGAATAACGGGGCCAGTTTACAGATTGGTTTGCTGAATGCAGTATGTCAAGAAGACGCTAGGGTAGTGGAAATACTGCTTCAATTCTATGATAAACAACACCAGACATCGCCACGGGAATTGAAATCCGCAAGAGGCAAAACCGCTTATATAACACCGCTAATCTTGGCGGCCTGTTTGCAGAATTTTCAAATTGTTAAGCTTCTTCTTGAACATGGACTCACTGTTGACGATCCCACAGGTGTTCGCTGGTGGAGAGACCCCACTGGCGCGGTCAGCGATAAGCTCGGTCCCGCAATATCCCGTTTAAATAAATACCGCGCACTGGCTAGCCCTGTGTTTATCGCGGCGTCTTTTCTACAAGACGTGCAACGTGGTCCAGACCCAGTTCTTCAAGCTTGTACTCTGAGCAAGCAACTCCGTGACATGGCCGAGCAAGAATACGAATTTAGTAAAGAATACTTTCAGTTATGTGATGGGTGTGAAGAATTCACTGTTTCGCTCCTGAATGAATGCTACACAATGGAAGAGATAAGATGCGTTTTGGAAACAAACAGCGAAACGAAAATGTTGTCTAAATTGGAGACAGATTCCCTAAACATACTGGAATTTGCTGTCTTTACAAAAAATAAGAAGGTGTGTTCTTATTTAACTATAAAATGGTAAAATGATCTGTAAATAGTGGCAATTTAAACAATAAAATTTATTGCGTTACCACTATTGAAAAGCTAACTAGTGCAGGTTCTAGTTGCACCTCTACTCATTTCAGGACATATAAATCTCAAGTTTTACCGCTGAAGCATCCCACCAGAACCCCTAGTATGCCCACTCTTTTCGAGTTCGGATTAGCACCCCCCTACTTTTAACCTTGATTCGCGATTGTTGATATCAAATTGACCAGCAAATCGAACGGTAAATATTTGTGAGGTGCAGGATGTAGATTGCTGAAGAAAAAGACCAAAATTGGGCATGATGTCTCTAAAGAAAGAGAGAAATCAAGGTCGACGTGAAGGTTATCATTTAGTTCAATTTCGTCTTTTTTCTAAAATTAAAATGCTTTCAGTATGATGGTTGCAATCTCCAAAGTTATTGTGTTTTCGAGAAATTGTAATTTGGTCGGGGGTTTTTGTATGTTACGATGAAACGATCTACTTGCTTGCTTCTTGCTAGTTGCTTGTTTGCTTCCTTGATGCTTTGCTTCTTTGATTCCTTGCTTCCTTTCCTCTAAGCATGTTGGGAAATTCATCTGGAGAAATGGCCATTGTTCTCGCGACATTTACTTACAGTCGGTGAAAGCTACTAGGTCTGTCATATCGCTTATTGTTATTCTAAAATGCTGAGCAGGAGTCTTTTTCATTGGTTACCATGAACTCGCGGCAGTACTCTTCATCGTGGAGTAGGCGGATTGATTGGAACGGGCTTTAACCCGAATCTGCCAAAACCCGATAACTACCAAGTTAGGTTTACATTTCGTAACTGATTTTCGGTATAAATATGTTTGAGCAAAAAGTAGGTTTTATTTTGATTATCGTCCATCAAGGTTAAACTGCGTGAAACCAAATGCGATGGTGGTGTGTTATTGGAAATAGCTTAAACAACAATAAGAACTAATTTCGTTCATAAGATAAACTAACGACTCATTTTAACCTTTCAGTTTGTCAGTCATCCCTACAGCATGCTGGCACTAGATTCCGAAATATACAAAGGTGCGCCCTTCCTGGAGGTGAAAAGTGTTTGGAAGGAATTGGCGTTAATGCTACTAGTGTCCATCCTGTACCCACTGATTTTCTTGGTTTGGTTCGTTTTTGCGACCTATTCCCCCAGAAATAAACTGAGCAGAATGTTTCAGTCAACTCGTGTAAAGTTTCTACTCTACTGTGCCTCCTATCAAACATTTATTTTCCTGCTGGCTTTCAGATCTGCTACCTTATGGCGTCTGAAGGATACTCTTTTACAATTCGTGCTAACGGGTAAGAGATGCGAGTCAAAATATGGTAATCTTTCACAACAAATGCGCCTTTTAGCGCTTCATCTGCTGCACTAGACTTTTCCCCAAAGCCTCCCTTGGGGGCAATAGCTTGGGATGGGTTCGTTCTGGGTTTAGATCACTTTCTTGTTTGTCCACTGAGGGGAAGATTAAACTTGAACCCAGTTTCACTGTAACATGAACATCGTTGTAAACATTGTAAACTGAGTAAATCGTAAAACTTTTTCTGTAATTTCACCCTTTGAATGAAACCTCCACATCAATTACTCGTAGTAATAGCATTGCAGTGCCGTAGCAAGGGTAATATAAGAGGGGGGGCACGCGAGCGCCGGAGGCGCAAGCCGCTAGGGGTGTCTGTGGGTATGCTACCCCAGGAAATTTTGAAATCTAGAGGCTTGGAAATGCTATTTCCAGCGTTCTCCAAGAGCTATTTGTGATTTACGCATATCGCGAATTATTTACTTCGTACACTGTCTCAGCAAACCAATGCACATTGAGAGTATAACACTTGCAACATCAATTACAAAATAGAAAACCGACTATCTCTGTATCTTGAATTGTTGTAACGAATCACTTTCTGGTTTGTTTTAGTTTTTGGCTGTTTAATATTGTTGTGCATTACCCTACGTATGTTAAAAAATGAAAAGAAGTACAAATGTTATTGTTTCAAACCTCTCGAGAGATAATATTTTATTTTCAACATTTTAGTATACAGGTCTGTTTTTACTTTTTAGGAAAAAAACTGGTGGGGCATGGGACCACCGGCCCCTCCCCTTGCTACGGCACTGATCATTGATTCAGGGCTTAAAATTAAGAGCTTAAAGAAAATGTTCACTTCATTCGCCCATAAAAAAGGTAAAAAAAGTCCAAAATTAAGGAATGAATTTCCATCCACTGTTGTAAAGTAAGCTTCCGAGTGTTCTAAGGTGGCTTCAATTGAATTTATTTAGCGTAAAAACATTCATCGACGTCCTTTTGTGTTGTCGAAATGTTACCAGCCAGCAGCGTGTAGGATTGGATTTAGCCCCAACATGAACACACAACGTAAACAACAATTGATTTTTACTGTTTGATACTCCACTTTTTCGTTATTGTGTTCTTTTTTGCGTATCTTTCGAAATTCCCTGCGGCAATTTCATCTTGGGAAAATCGGTCATACACAAAAATTAGTTTTCCCCTGGGTAACAGCAAGAGAGAATGATCTCTCTGGTAACAGCCATTTGCCCAGGAGTAAAACGGCTAGTGTAGACGCACCTAATGTCATGTTATCGACGGTTTTTCCTTTTCTTTCCACAGGTCTGTATGAGATAATATTTATGATTGGTCTAACAGTGGATGTTATAAAGGACATGGTCCAACAAGGAAGAGTCCGCTTTTTTTCTTACCATTGGAATTATCTGGCCGTGGCGACAGTGGTTTCATATGGCATCTGTCTCGCCCTTTGGTTGATTGATATTACCTCTAGGGTACGAGTTGTAACCCTCGTTTTCTTAAGAACTTTGGCAATCCTTATGGCCTTTGTCCACAATTTATCATTTTTTCAAGCGAACACCAGTATTGGTCCACTGCTAAATGCATTTATACAGATGCTAACTGATGTTGCAAAGTTCTTTGTGTATTTCTTTTTTTTTTTTCTGGCATTCGCTGTGAGTCTCACTGAGCTTTATGCAGTGTATTTCGTCCTTGGAACGCCGCAAAATGGGAACAATCCTAAGAATCTTGAAAGGTGCGTACAACCATGTTAACGTTCCTGTTTTCTTGTTCGTCTGAATTACAAGTGTAGTCTTACTGTAATAGATAAAACGAAGGAACACGTAGGTTTGAAGCGTATTACAGGCGTTGACAAAACAACAAACTTAAGGTGGCTCACAATCTTATGGTAACTGTTCAGTAGCATTTTAATCCTTTGACTTCGATCGATCAATAGTGAATATTACAACGTTTTTTTCAGATGATACTTCAATCAATAATGGTACTAGCAAATACTTACTAAGTACATACAGACTCGACTTAAAGTAGTATGATATATAATAAGGGGATTTAACTTTTCGCGAAGTTAAAAAAAAACGTTATTTACTTGATTAAACGCTGCCCTCAAACAAACTCCGCCCTTGAATAAACGCCCTAGATGGATGCAAAATCAATCAAGTAAATACGGTATATCAAGTCAAGAGCCTGCTCAAAATTACTGTCATTATTCATTTGAAATATTTCGCGGTTTCTAAGTGGCGTTAATTCCTCGGCTAAATCTTCATTACCAGCTATCTCTGACCAAATTTGCAAAAATTCAGGCATTAATTAAAGTTAATGCAATGCCTCTGACGTCAGTGATTGTATTTGGCCCACGCAGCAGCCTGGCTGGTTGAATCGCGTCCAGAGCTCAAGAAAATGGGGAAAGAGTTCACTGCTTCCGAAGCCAAAACAGACGAATTAATGACCAAAAACCAACGGAACGAATACAAAGGTTCGATGTTCACATTCTGAAAGTGTACCGAGAAACTGCCAATATTCTGAAGAAAGTTTACGAGAAGGTATGGATCAGTGAAGACTGGGAAGACTCGCACGATTTGGGGACGTGTTTCAGAGAAGTCCGCAATTTTCTTCTTTCCGCTTAAAGAAAAATGTCAAAAAAGGAGGCGACGAGGACAGTAGAGCTGTCATTCGACGAAAACGTGAGGAGAGGATCAGTAAGGGAAGCTCAGCTGATATACCTCCAACTAAAGTAAGCGAAGACGTTTGAAGAGCTGAGCGACATTGAAAGTGATTTTAATGTGTGGATCGATGAGCTTTTGGAAGAAAATTGAGCTTTAAGAAAGCACTACAAAGAGTTGAAGAAGTCCTTAGAGTTCAATAACAGCGAGTTAGATACCCTTAAAGAAGAGAACAAGAAATTCGGGGTAGAAGTGGCATTGCTGAAAGATTCACTCCATGACACAGGAGAGGACATCAACAACATGCACGAGGATCTTGGAACGGCAATTAAACCAACTTGACGACTCAGAACACTACACACGTAAACTGACAATCTAGAGATCCATGGAATCGCCGAAAAAGCCGACGAGAACATTGCTGAAAATGTTATCAAGTTAGGAAAAATTGTCAATGTGCATATATCACCAAACGATATTGACATTTGCCTCGGAATGTATAGCAGGAGCAATAATGCCAAAAGCCATTATCGTTCGTTTTCAAATCACGCAAACTGAAGAAGTATTAAAATCAGTCCTAAAGTGAGGAAACTTATAAAAGACAATCACTTCGAAAGCGCCTGGACATTAGCCGGACGGCCAAATGTTTTTTTTTCAAGAAAACCAAGCAGGATCAACCAAAGAGGGTTTTTGCTGAAGATGAACGTGGAAGCCTTAGTTCATCGTTTGCCCTTTTTTTTTTTACATTCTGAGACTTTGAGAAACAGCAAATGTTCTGAAGAAAGTTTATGAGAAGTTACGGGTGACGAACTAAGAAATATTTTAAATGAATAATTATTGGTTACCGAATATTCGGTTTTTGTATGATATGAAAAACTATGCAGATTGAGGAGCTTGTTATAGGTTTTAATGGATAACAGTCTCATTCAATAATTGCTGAATAATTTTATTCTGTTTTTAGGTTAGAAAACAGCGCAGACTTTATATTCTGGGCGTTTTTGGGGCAGAGTGAACGTAAAGATTTTGATATTGATCATTCGGATTACCATGTCATCGGGACAATGGCCAAGGCGTTGTTTGCTTTGTTCAACATTGTAGCGGTTCTTGTGGGTCTTAACGCTTTGATTGCAATGCTCACTGAATCCTACGAACGAGTGAAGGTAAGTAAAGAACCGTTCTTGTAGGTGCACGAGTCAACAATTCAAAGCGAGCGTCATTTGTAAAGGAATAAAACAAAGAGTGAAAGACACTTCCTAGCATGTCGAGTTAACCTTGGTAGTCGGGTTGAAGCTTTTATGAGGGCTCTTAGCTTTAGTTTACTCCAGTTATTATCAGCAGAATATTAGAAAATTAATTTTTTTCCGAGTTGTTCTCTCCACATAAATTATTCCATTTATTAATTAAAACAAACAAACAAACAAAAAACAGTATAACTTTTAAAGACATGTTTTTGGCATAGTCCATTGAAAATTTTTCAGATGATTCTAATGTTGCACTGCCTTCACTTTTCTCTAACTGTACTCACCGCTTACGGTTACTTTTTGCTTCTCTCCAACACTGGGATATCTCATATATTTTCTCTAACATTAATCTCTCGGTGTACGTATTAACCCTTTAAACCCTAAGATCAAAATTTGCCCTATTCATTTCCTACAGGAGTAGTGGGGAGAAGTTGATAAAATATCAAGCAAATTCATCTTGTGTGACCATGTCCGTAATACGTATGACCACTCTGTTTTACAAAGCATTGATATTACAAGGAGAAATTTGATGTTGATCACTCTTAGGGCTTAAAGGATTAACCGGGTTTTATTGTATTGAAAAGGGGGTCTTTTCGGACTGGCTGGCTGTGCATCGTCTACATGTGTGATACTAGCAATGTCTTTGTTCTTTCTTTTAAAATCTCTAATTCCATGATGAAGTTTTCTATTAAAAATACTTAATTTTCTCTATGCAAAATGAAATGAATCAGGGCAAGATCAGGGTTATAACGGTTGCAGGCCTCGTCGGTACACCCCTTCCCAAACTTCCCAGAAGTGTCCCCCTGGATCCATGTGTCTTGTTTGGCCGATATATGGGTTGTTTGGTGTGGTCACAGTATACTCATCATCTGAACTGTCCTCGTCCTCCCTGGCGTGATAGGATGGCACAGTGGTAGTGGGCTTACAAATCTTGTCTGTCGTTCTTCTTTCTTTGGGGAAGATTGCCAGAAACCTGTTACATCAGACTTTGTGCAATTGTAGGCGTGCATAAGCTTAAAAAAATACTTTCCTAGTTGTTATCCGTTTCCCCGGCGGTTTTTTAAGCATTGATAACAGCGTGCCGTTCATGTGTTCCACCTGGCGATTTCCTTGCGGGTGGTGCGGCTTCGTCTGAGAACTGGTTTCCCTCCAACACCGGGATTTTTTATATCCCATCATGCTGCTAGCTCTTGGAGCTCGGCTCCAGTCTTCTGCGTCGCACACCAAAAACGTCCATGATATAGACAAGATAAAACATTTCGCCAGTTTCCAACATGGCCAGGTAGCATACTTTACCTGAAAAAAATTAATGTTTTTATTTACATTTTTTTGGGATAAACACTGGTTTCGTAAAGTCGGGCGTATTTAAATTAGCATATTAGTATTGCCAAAAGACCCAATAACAAACATAAGCTTTGCCGATTCGGGTTCTGGATTTGAAGTAAATTAAACGCGCTTTTATAATGCGATTTTACAGTGGGCTAGTTGACATAAATGCAGTCTTAGATTGGGGCATGCAATTTAAATGGTGATATTTGCGGGAAGCCTCATCTTAAACAGGCAGAAAAAGAAAAGGTTAAAGGCTTGTTTATAGTGGAAGGTGCTTGTTACGGTCACATTCCACGTCAAATATGTCTAGTGTTTGTTCTTTGTTTAGTTTTGTACATTCTTTTCAGTTATCGCAATTCATATTCAGTTGGATTTTGCTGCATAATTTTCTTTGGTTTTAGCGTTCACAGCAACATCATCGCACTTTTCGTTTAGTTTTGTTAGCCATCATACCTTTTTTCCGTTCAACTTTCAAGTTACACAACGTTTGCAAGTATTTTCGCTCAGTTTCTATCCTTTTCCTGTATTTTCGTCGTTTCATTGCTGTCATTTGTATTCCTTAGTAATTTGTAATTTTGTTTGCTTTTAGCAACCGTAGTCGTAATTTTTTATAATTGTAATAAAGACGAGTTGGAACGGTGGACTATTCTTGGACTATTCGCTACAATATTTCGTTGAAACGTTATGGATCCAATCGAGGGACAAGTTGAAATGGAAAGCGACAGTTTGAATTTTGCTAACGCTGCCTTAGAAACTGGTGTAACAAGGCGAAGGCAGCGCTCCGAAAAGGGATAGGTATTTATCGCTCATGTTAGATGGACGGATTGCCAGACTTTATTTAGAAGAATCCAACGTCAGTTCAAATGAAGGAAATTGATAGTTTGGCGACCGATGAGGAGAATGTGGACGTCGTCGAGAGTAATTTAACTTCATTTCGTATTTCCGCGGAAGAGCTTAAGACGGGTTTCGCTGCTCTTTTAAATGATCTTGAGTCCTAGGAGGATTTGGACGTTGGGAACGACTGGTATATTAATCAGAGTGGGAAGATTAACGACTTGTTAGACAATACTGTACTCTGGATTTCAACCGCGAGAGAGACAATCGAACATAGCTTGGAAACAAGATCTCAAGTTGGCTCGCTATATTCTACATCGCGACGTTCAAGGGCATTCTCTAGATATTCTAGCCTTTCGATTACCTCAAATAGAGCGAAAGAGAAAGCCAAGGCTGCCAATTTAATGGCCAGAGTTGCTATGTTGGAAAAAAGGAAAGAGTTGCAATTGAGAGTCGAGAAGAACAGTTGGCAGTTGCGCGCGTGCGAGAGGGCGTGTTTGCTGAAATTGGAAGTGGTGTCAGCGAATAGGATTTAACTAGTCGTCAAGAATTGCCTCCGAAAGGTTCTTCTATACAGGTATCTACTTCTTCTGGACCGTTTTTTCCGACTTCTTCAAGCGCTTACACGTCTCCAACAGTCACGTCGAACGCTATGACTAAAGTGAGCTTTACCACAGGTTTATAGGACGCTCCTATGATACAAACCCCTCCTAAGCCAATGCAGCATCCAAGTCTGAATCCTTTTACACTGAGTTTCACGTTGCCGAAATAAAGCACGATACAGAGCTATTAGGGAAACCGAAGCAAGAGCCTTGCCCGAGTGAACCTCCATACATGGCCTGCACACATCGGCACTAAGCAGTTCTGGAAGTCCTTCAACAACAGAATAGATTAACGGAATTACTAGCAGAGCAACAACAACAGAGTTTACTTCCTTCTCTTACACTGACCAAGTTTAGTGGCTATCCTTTGGAGTACTTTACCTTTATAAGAAGTTTTGAATCGCAAGTAGAGGCTAAGGTCAGCACGAAGGATATGCGTCTACAATACTTAGAGCAGTATTTACAAGGAGAACCGAAGGACCTAATCAAAGGATGTCTCCATGCCACCTTGATGGAGACAGCGGGTACCTAGAGGCCAAAAGGCTCCTTAATGAGAAGTATGGGGACCCTTACCAGATATCCAACGCCTATTTTAAGAAAATTAACGGGTGGCCCTTCATCCGACCAGGGGACGAGTTGGCATTAGACAGATTCTCCATCTTCCTAAGTCCGTACCGGAGCGCGATGAGAACTCTTACCTGCCTGTCTATCCTGAATCATCCGCAAAATTTGCAAAGCATGGTAACCAAACTTCCATTTACGCTTCAAGACCGATGGCGCAGAGAAGCAAATAAATGGAGAGTGGCAGGTGGAGTGATCCCTTCTTTCGCCGACTTCGTGAACTTCGTTAATGTAGAAGCAGGAATCGCGACCGACCAAGTCTTCTCTCGAAAAGCGCTCCGTCGTTTAGATGGTTCCTCAGATCGACCTGATCGTTCCAGTAAAGGCAAAGGTAAAAGCTTTGGCAAGTCTAAAACGTCTGTGAACCATAATGGTACTTCACATGGCGCCTCCAGTCATGCGACAGATGTGACCGCTGACCAAAAGTCTGGCTCACGTACTCCTATTAGCCTCTGTAAGTTTTGTAACAAGAATCATGATTGTCATAAAGGAATGACTTCCTAAAGAAGAAAACGCTCTGCTTTTCCTGCTACAGTCGTGGACATAGATCCAACGGTTGTGTCCAGCAAAGTACCTGTAAGAGCTTCTCACGTCGATATCCAACGGTTCACATTATGATAGCCTCGTCCTCAATCAGGAGGCCTCCAAGCAGGTCAGCCCCACTCCTCCGCAACCAAAAGAGCACGTTTCGAATGCTTACACGGACGTAGAAGGAACCCTGCTGTAGGCACCGGAGAATCAGTAATCGCCTTTCCTGTAGTTCCTCTTAGGCTGAGATCTGCTGAAAATGAAGTCCTTCCTTACGCCATGCTTGATACCTGCTGTACCTGTTCATTCGTTCTTGACGACATTGCAGCTACCTTGGGGGTGAAGGGCCTGAATACACAGCTTATGGCGAAGACTTTCAATGGTACAAAGTTGCACGATTCTAAAGTCTGAATGGATTAATCGTCACGGACACGAAAGGCGAGAATCCCATACAGCTACCGAAGATATCCACTAAAGAGGACGTCTCCACACCCCAAAATGTGTCTACGCCTGAACTTGCTCATCGTTGGAAACATTCCAGAAGCATAGCCAAAGGGCTGCACAGTTACCTAATGTCAGGATTGGTCTTCTGATTGGCTCAAACTGCCCGAAAGCTCTGGAACCAATAGATGTATTAGCTAGTGAAGATGGTGGTCCCTTCGCAATCAGAACGTTTGCTGGATGGGCAATAGTGGGCCCTCTGTACATGTGCGGCACAGAGAATTCAAATGTCAGTTACCCTAGAGTTGCTGCTTCGGAAGTCGGTTCAGAAAGACACCTCGGCCACCACTTCAAGGTAGAAAGAAAAGAGAAGAGAGAGAAGAGTTACAGAGATTGTCACTTCACAAGTACTCAAGAAGATGCTCGAGCTGGACTTCAGTGAACGAACGGAAAACAAGGAGCAATAATATTCACGAGAAGACATGAAGTTTCTGAAGATAGTCAGTCAGAGAATTCGTCACACGGAAGATCGTAATTATGAAATTCCCCTTCCTTTCCGCGTTGACAGCCAATGGTTTCCTGATAATAGAGGAAAAGACCTTCAAAGAGCACAGGGTTAACAAAGAAGCTTATTAAGAATGAGAAGTTTTACAAGGACTATGTTAACTTTATAGGCAACATCATTACCAAGGGATTTGCTCGGAAGGTACCTCAGGCCACTTAAAACATGACTACCTAACTGAATATGCGTATTTTGATAAAATGCTATTTAGAACGGTGTACTTCTATCAATGATCCTGAAAACTGAACTACAAATGTAGCTTAATGGCCTTAGCAATATGAGTGCATTTTAGAAGCTCAAATTTTCGTCACGTGACTGATAATTGAGAATTAACGGTCAAAATATTTACTCTAAAATGGGGGAAAGGATAATGAAAGAGCAACAAGTTCTTTTAGGTACATTTTAGAGGCTATTAAAAAGGTTCTTATAAATTCGCCTTGTATGTGTGTTTACGTTATATAGGAATCGGTTAATAAAGGGAAAAGGGTCACGTGACTTATTAATTAGTTAAATAGCTAATAGGATAAATACCATTTCCAATCATACAAGGCGAATTTACGATTTACACTGTTTATGTAACATTTTGGTAGTGAAAATTCGTAAGATTAAGGTTTGCAACCCTTCCTCGTTTAGTAAAACGTGTTTTGTGACGTCATTGATGAAGCGATGTCACGTGTTATTTGAAATCACGTTTCACGTGTTTTTTTCGTTGAGACACATTTGTAGTTCACTTTTCAGGAGCACTGATGGAAGCAAACCGTTCTAAACAGCATTTACTAAAATATGCATATTTAATTAGGTAGTCATGCCTTAAGTGGCCTGAGACTGTCTGGTACATACCCCATCATGGCGTTTACCACGCCAAGAAGCCAAACAAGATAACGCTGGTGTTCGACTGTAGCCTAGATTTGGAGGAGTATCGCTCAACTACAAGTTGCTAAAAGGGCCTGACCTGACAAATCGACTTGTTGGTGTCCTTACAAGATTCCGCCAAGAGCCCATTGCGTTTATGGGTGACATTGATACAATGTTCCATCAGGTCGGTGTACCAGAAGGCCAGCGAGACTTCCTTCACTTCCTTTGGTGACCTGATGGAGACCTATCAAAAGACCTTGAAAAATAACAAATGAACGCCCACTTGTTCGGCGCAGTGTCATCGCCAAGTTGCTCAAACTTTCCGCTGAGAAAAGCCGCAGATGACACAGAAAAGATTGTTGGAGCAGAGGCCGCAGATGTTATGCGAAAGAACTTTTACGTTGACGACTGTCTGCGCTCCGAATTCGAAGGAAAAGAAGAAAGCGCTATCGAAAGGATACGTGATGTTCGCCATGCTTGCGCCCGTGGAGGGTTTAATTTGGCCAAGTTCGTCAGCAACAGCAAGACCGTTCTCGAAAGTATCCCGGAAGAAGAACGTGGCCCAGAAGTTAGATCGTTAGAATTAGGAAGTGATTACTATCCAGTGTAGAGAGCTCTTGGTGTCCAGGGGGCAATGGAATCGGACATGTTCGGTTTCAGAATTGTCATCAAAGGCCAGCCACTAGCAAGAAGGGGAACTGGGTATAGCCGCTCCCTTCCTGTTAGTCAGGAAGAAGATTTTGCGGGATTTGTGCTGAACGGTGCTAGGTTGGGACGACAAGATTTGCGAAGAGTTCCGCCTACGTTGGGAAAAGTGGAGAGGCCAGTTGCCTACACTTGAGCGTCTCTCTATGGAACGATGTCTGAAGCCCAATAACTTTGGCGCTGTCGAGTCGAGACAGATCCACCGTTTCTCTGACGCAAGTTCGACTTGTTATGGTCAAGTATCTTACCTTGGAATGGAAAACGAGAGAGGTGACGTCCATAGCGCATTCCTTATAGGGAGGGCTCGAGTTGCCTCCGTGAAGACCATTGCTATCCCTCGTTTAGAGTTAACCGCAGCCGCTGTATCGGTCGGTTCTTGTGGTAGAGATGATCTCTAGAGAACCAGACGAACCTGTTAATAGCAGGCACTTCTGGACGGACAGCACAACCGTGTTAAAGTACATACGTAACGAAAAGAAGCGTTTTCAAGTCTGTCGCCAACAGCGTTTAGACGATACGAGTCGCGAAAATTCCCACCAGTGGGGGTACGTTGAGTCCAAAAGGAATCCAGCAGACGACGCTTCCCGTGGCCTTGACGGTCAAGAATTATCCGTGGAGTGTCGTTGAATTACAGGTCCGAACTTCTTATGACTTCCCGAGAGTGAGTTGCCAGAACTCCCTTATGACCTAGACGATATCCCTGTAAACGACTCTGAAGTTAAAAAGATCTTGGTACACAGCACGGACGTCGATGAGACCAAAAATTTTCTGACGAGGCTCACGCGATTTTCCGAATGGCACCGACTGAAGAGATCTATTGCTTGGATACTCCGTCTCAAGCCTAAGCAAAATATTACTGACGATGGTACAAAGAGAGGTGGAAACGCCACAAAAGCTGAAGTCAAGCCTCTGACAGTAGAAGAGCTGGATAGAGCTGAGAAGACCATTCTTAAACTTGTACAGCGTGGAGCGTTTCCCAAGGAAATAGGAGCCTTACAGAAGATTCAAAGAGCATATTCCTACGACAATCGACATATTCGCAAAGGCGAAGAAGTCTGAAATCAAGAAATAGAGTACCCTGTTCCGCTCGATCCCTTTCTAGACAAGGATGGACTCATCTGCGTTGGTGGTAGACCAGGTGATTCACAGGAGTTCGCAGAAGACTTTAAGCATCCGGTTATCCTCCCGAAGAAGAGTTTCATCGTCGACCTTTTCGTTCGCGACGCTCATAAGAAAGTCGCTCACGCTGGCAGAGGCATAACGTTGAACGAGCTTAGAAGCCGATATTGGATAGTTAACGCGAACTCGGTTGTCAGGCATCTCATTTACAAGTGTGTTGTATGTCGTCGTCCTCGAGGACCAACCAGTCAACAGAAGATGGCTGAACTGCCAGAGGAGAGGATAACATCTGCCCCTCAGCTCCCATCACGTATTGTGGTGTCGATCTGTTTGGTCCCTTTCAAATAAAGCAAGGCAGAAAAGAAGTCAAGCGCTATGGGGTACTATTTGCGTGCTTAGCAAGTAGAGGAGTACTCATCGAAACAGCAGACTAGCTAGAAACAGATTCCTTCGTGAACGCACTATGAAGATTCATAGGAAGGAGAGGGCCAGTACGCGAGATCAGATCACACCAGGGAACCAACATTGTGGTAGCGCAGTCCGAGCTTAAGAAAGCCCTTGAGGAGATGGATTATGTTGACATCCAAAGACGCCTTAGCAAGGACTTCAATTCTGATTGGGTTATCAAATGGAAAAAGAATCCCCCAGCTGAGTCTCATATGGGTTGCGTCTGGGAACGCCAGGTACAGTCTGTTCGATCCATTTTATCCGCGCTGATGCGAGAATATGGTCACGCCCTTGATGATGAGTCTCTTAGAATCTTGTTGGCTGAGGTAGAATGCATCATTAACAGCCGTCCGCTAACCGTCACGTCTAGTGATCCCGGAGATTTGTATCCTTTTAATGCCGAGTCACCTATTGACGATGAAATCAAAGATCGTAACGCCGCCCCCGGGTAACTTCCAGAAGGCCGATATCTATCTCCGTCGAAGATGGGAACGGGTTCAATGTTTGTCCAACGTTTTTTGGTCGACATGGAGAAAGGGCACGTCCAGACCCTACGGGAGAGAGTGAAATGGAACAAACCGAGAGGAAACCTTCAAAGAGGGGCCTTGTATTGATCGCCGGTGATAGAGCGCCAAGGAATCAATGGAAACATGGCTCGAGTTGTTGACTTACACCCAGATTCAAAGGGACAGGTCCGATCGGTGTTGGTTGCTACGGAAACGACAACGTTGGAGAGGCCAATTCAGAAGCTCGCGCTGATACTAGAGTATGAAGAAGACTTAGGACCAGGGATATATCCCAGCCTGAGGAGCCACGGAGAGTTAGAAATGTTCAATGAACTTTAATGCTTAATTGACAATTTAGGGCATAAGTAGGGGACCCAGATGTTACGGCCGCATTTCACGTCAAATATGTCTAGTGTTTAGTTCTTTGTTTAGTTTTGTACATTCTTCTCAGTTATCGCAATTCATATTCTGTCAGATTTCGCTGCATAATTTTCTTTGTCTGTAGACACCGTTATTTTAGATTCATTTCGCTTTAGCGTTCACAGTAACATCATCGCAGTTTTCGCTTAGTTAGTTTTTTTAGCCATCATTTGTCAGTATTTCCGCTTAGTTTCTTTCCTTTTCCTGTATTTTCGTCGTTTCATTGCTGTCATTTGTATTCCTTAGTAATTTGTAATTTTGTTTTGCTTTTAGCAACCTTAGTCGTAACTCGTTATAACTGTAATAAAGACGAGTTGGAACCGTGGACTATACTTGGACTATTCGCTACAATAGCGCTCTTAGCTTATCCAGCTAGTTTACAGGCACTCCACTTAAATAATAAGAGACAAATAATCCAAACAGAACATGACAGGATTAAAAAAACCCAACTTCCCTCCTTTACTTTTCCTACACTTCCTATTGCCAAGGCCACTCAATAATCAGCTAGAGTACAATCTAAGGAAATTAAAACGCAGGCGAAATCTTTTTGTTTAATGAGTTCATCACCTGTAAGACAAAGAGGGCAGATAACTTTTTTCCATTTCGATACTTTAACTAGTATGATTAATTGTTATTGTAGTAAAAAGTAATTTATTTCGTTAATTCAGTATTTTTCTGCAAGACAATATTATTAAACTATTATTAAACTGGCAAGAGGCAACCATATCAACAAGGGTGGCCGAGAATTTGAACTCGGGACGACCGAGTACAGATCCAACAAGAAGCCAGAAAGGAATCGAACCCGGCACCGCTGGGTTTCGAGTCCAAGCGCTCACTATTCGGCCACGAAGTTGAGGATAGTGTTCTAAACAAAACCTTTACATTTCCTGAGATACTTGGCTAAGTAGAATGACTTTTCAATGCTTTTCAGGAAAACTTGGATACGGAATGGAAATTCGCAAGGGCAAAAATGTGGTTACATTGGTTTCACAAGAAAAGCGTTCTTCCGCCTCCATTAAGCATCTTGTATGTGGTGCTTCCAATGTGCTGGGTTATTAGACGACTTTTCAAAATCTGTTCCCCAGAAATGAACACCAAATCTGGCGGGATTGATGAACAGCAGGTAAAATTCAGTAAGAAGATAATTCAATATGCACTAGTTTCGACAAGGCAAAATTAGTAGTATAGGAGAGACCGAATTAACCCCTTTTTTGCGCAGGAATCTCATTAGCGTGCATAGGAATACATTAACTAGGTGACGTCATAGGCTATTGTCTTGATCTCATGAATAAAATGCGCTGGAATCTCATAAAGATAAGGTCATGTGCTATTTTTAGATGTATGATGTCATGGTTGGTATGACAGGTTTTAGTTATTTTTAGCGCAAGAATCTCATTAGCGTGCGCAGGAATACATTAACTAGGTGACGTCATAGGCTATTTTCTTGATCTCATGAATAAAATGCGCAGGAATCTCATTAAGATAAGGTCGTGTGCTATTTTAAGTTGGTTTAGGTTTTCTAGTTACTTTAAGGTCGATAAACGTCTTCGTTTTCTATTGGTTAGTTAGAAAATAAGAAAAGTTTTCATTGTTTAATTCATAGTGCCTGAGGAGTAAAGTCAAACTTGTCTCTGACTTAAAATCACTGAGACGTAACGTAATTATGCAAGTCCTATTTCCTGCTGCTGCGATTGTCCTAGTTCCGGTTCACTGATTTTTGGAGGGTAAATCGTGTTAATTACTTTAAAACATTGTTAGTATTTGCAAGAGCGTTCCTTCAGAAGATACTTTATTAAACCAACTAGCAATTAGATTTCGCTAAGTTTAGTATAAATTGTCCGTTCTAATATAGAGAATAATTGAAAAGCTTCTAACTTTTCAAAGAAGAGTGGGCAGGGGATGGAATCATTGGTCTAAGTAGTAAAACCTACTATCGCTTCGGGAGAAAAGACAAGTTCAATTTCAAAGGAGTTAATAAGAAGACAAACGAAATCAACAAAGAGAAATACTTGAATGTCTTGTTAACCAAACAGAGCAGTGCCGGGCTAAACAAGGGTTTTCGTATACCTATCAACAAATTCGAGATAGCTTTGCCTACTTTTACCCCAGAAGAAAAGTGTTGGAGGATGGAGTTACTACTATGCCTCTAGATATTTAAGTTTGTGTTGTAATTTCACTGAGTGTAAAAAACTGTAACGTGTGTGATTCATAAATAAAACACTTTATAAAAAACGCGTTTCTTGTAATTCTCTGACTTGAAGCACGAGTACGTTTCCCACGCGCAACTTCCATGTGCGAAAGTGTCGCGAGAGTGTGGCGTGTGCCTGAGAAAAAAACAACACTGAAATTCTACCCTTTATGCCCTTGGTGCCCGTTGTGCCCTCGAAAATCAACGATAAATTTCGCGTTGTCTCACTGACATGCATCAACTAGATCACACTCAGCGGAGAATGTACCTGCAAAACTACAACCAAAAGGTAAAGTGAAACAGGCCAGAAAAGCCATAACCAGGCCTGAAAGGCCAAAACCAGGCCAAAAGGGACAAAAGGAGACAATCGGGCCATTTCTAGTTATGTGTCTTTATTTTCTCAAACACACGCGTGGGTGTCGCGCATCGCTAGTCACGCAACAGCTCTCAACATTGGAATCATCATTCTTATTAAGTGTAATCACAAATAACAGTGCCTAATTAAAAAAGGTTTGACCGTGAATTAGTAATTGGTATTTCAAATTTCAGATTTTTTTATTTATTGTACAAGTTTACTATTATTGTTATTATTTTCAAGTCAGCAATAAAACACTCTTAAAGTTTGGTTGTTTACAGTTTTTATTGAAACGCAACAATGCAAAGGTCCAGGAAAAAGTTATTCTATAACATTCATAGTTGGACTAGTCTTCATCTTGTGGAATGGGCTGCTTTTGATACAGTCGATTGAGTAAGAATTTTCGCTTATCGATCGCTAGTTCTGTCGATTCCAACCAATCAAATCCTTCTGTGTCTTTAAGGTCTTTTTGAGTTTCCATCACTTTTTTGAAGGTGGGGTCTTCTTTCATTGCACGCATCCACTGTAGATTCTCTAAGAGTACTTTTCTTAGCTCTTTTCTGTACACAGGAAGAAGAGCGTTCTCAGCTTTCACGCGGGCCACATTTTCTGAATCTCCGTCCCCTTCGTACTCATTGATCAATGCTTTGAGCTGGGTCTCAGGTACATTCTCCGCTGAGTGTGATCTAGTTGATGCATGTCAGTGAGACAACGCGAAATTTATCGTTGATTTTCGAGGGCACAACGGGCACCAAGGGCATAAAGGGCAGAATTTCAATGTTGTTTTTTTCTCAGGCACACGCCACACTCTCGCGACACCTTCGCACATGGAAGTTGCGCGTGGGAAACGTACTCGTGCTTCAAGTCAGAGAATTACAAGAAACGCGTTTTTTATAAAGTGTTTTATTTATGAATCACACACGTTACAGTTTTTACACTCAATCAAATTACAACACAAACTTAAATATCTAGAGGCATAGTAGTAACTCCATCCTCCAACACTTTTCTTCTGGGGTAAAAGTAGGCAAAGCCATCTCGAATTTGTTGATAGGTATACGAAAACCCTTGTTTAGCCCGGCACTGCTCTGTTTGGTTAACAAGACATTCAAGTATTTCTCTTTGTTGATTTCGTTTGTCTTCTTATGAACTCCTTTGAAACTGAACTTGTCTTTTCTCCCGAAGCGATAGTAGGTTTTACTACTTAGACCAATGATTCCATCCACTGCCCACTCTTCTTTGAGAAGGTAGAAGTTTTTCAATTATCTCTATATTAGAACGGACAATTTATACTAACCTTAGCGAAATCTAATTGCTAGTTGGTTTAATAAAGTATCTTCTGAAGGAACGCTCTTGCAAATACTAACAATGTTTTAAAGTAATTAACACGATTTACCCTCCAAAAATCAGTGAACCGGAACTAGGACAATCGCAGCAGCAGGAAATAGGACTTGCATAATTACGTTACGTCTCAGTGATTTTAAGTCAGAGACAAGTTTGACTTTACTCCTAAGGCACTATGAATTAAACAATGAAAACTTTTCTTATTTTCTAACTAACCAATAGAAATCGAAGACGTTTATTGACCTTAAAGTAACTAGAAAATCTAAACCAACTTAAAATAGCACACGACCTTATCTTAATGAGATTCCTGCGCATTTTATTCATGAGATCAAGAAAATATCCTATGACGTCACCTAGTTAATGTATTCCTGGGCACGCTAATGAGATTCCTGCGCTGAAAATAACTAAAACCTGTCATACCAACCATGACATCATACATTTAAAAATAGCACATGACCTTATCTTTATGAGATTCCTGCGCATTTTATTCATGAGATCAAGACACTAGCCTATGACGTCACCTAGTTAATGAGATTCCTGCGCACGCTAATGAGATTCCTGAGCAAAAAGGGGTTAATTCGGTCCCTCCTATACTACTAAAATTCGTCACTTTCTTGGCATTTTTCAGTACAACTGCTTCATTTGTCAGCTAAAATGGTACATTGTATTACGAAACTGTCCCGACATAGGCCGCCATGTTGGCTCTCGTCCCACAACTGTGAAAGGATATTGCAAGTGAAAGAGATATCCTAAATAAAATACACCGTCTACTTAAAAACTATAACCAACTAATAAAAATACTATAAAAAATACTAAATCTAAGTTTAGAATGTCCGCTTTCCTTGCATTAACACTAAAGGAGTATTACAAGTTACGAGAGCCAATCGGAACGCGAGAAAGTTGCTATCCACTGATTCTGTAAATACTGGAGACTGTGGTTTTTGGTTGTCGTTGTGGTTGTTCAGTCGCTTGCTTTAATTATATGTTTCATGGCCGAATGAATTTACTTTTTTATTTCTCAGCGACGAGAGGTGATTAGTCATCTCGTGCTGAGGTACCTGGCCAAGAGATCGTGCCCTGCAGATTCTGGGAGCAACCTGAGTGGCTTAAGGAAAGCAGACCGAGAACAAGATTTCGACAATTGTAGTCAGTCAAATGAAACTGCAATCATGGAGACTCTCATTTGACGGAACTTGTAGTCTGGAATTCAGACCCAGCACAATGCGGCCGGGTTTTGGCTTGTAGTGTATGTGACCAGCTAATATCTAGCTTTTTGTAAATAATTAATTTGGTATCGGGGAATGCACAGAAATATAATAGGCTGTTCACTATTCAATTATTCCATCTGGATAATTCTCTTCATTCCATTTTTCGGCACCCTAAAAATTGCATCATTCAATTATACCAACTCGAAAATTATCGTTAGTCCATTATTCCACCTCCGAATTGTTTTATTGTTCATTCAAACTATTTCGCCGTTTCTGACTAGCTAAAATCTCGTGGCTAGTTATTCATACCAGCTGGCGCTTAACATAGTTGGAAGATGCGAGCAATATACCATGGATTCGACGTTATAAGTTTATTTGCTTGGAAAACGAGGTTGATCGATGGTATATTGACCTGGAATTTATCTATTTTCTATGATTTTTGGTATCGTTAATGAAGAATGGTGGAGTTTTAAGGAGTTCCTTTTGATTTGTCAATTATTTCATTAAAAAACATTGGCTTTTTGAATAATAGTTATTTAACTTGGTAGATAATTATACTTATTATATGGGTGAGTCTGTTTTCGCCATGCGATTGGTCATTTTGCGGTCCGTAACTTGCTATACGGACCAAAATTTTAAAGACAATGCTCATTTCGGAGCGTTAAATCTCTCTACCTCGGAAAAAAAGGTTGAAATTAAGTTACAAGACGTCTATCAACCTTGAGGACTTAGATTTTCACTTTGTCCTTCAACATTTTAAACTGTGTTTATTTGTGAACGAAGGCGGTGAAGAAACTAACTCTTAATCTTATCGAAGAGGATTCTAGTCAGTGTTTGAAAATTTTATAGTAGTACACAGTTAAGAAGAGGAAAATCGACTTTCAGGGACTCGAGATGTTTTGCCTAAGAGAAAATGAGTAATTCCTTCGACAAATATGATAACAAGCATGCCTGCACCCGATCAGCTTGACGAGCTTCTTTGTCATTTGCAGTGTTTTTCCAAAGACCAACAAAAGAAAGATAGTTTTCAAAAGACTCCAGCGTCACATTGGCGGGTGAATACTTACAGTACTCTTAGTTTTGACCGAATATACTTAAAAATATGTCTGTAAACCATGAGGACTGAGATGTGGACTTTGGCTTTTCAGATTTTAACCTAGCTTTGTTTGAATGAGAACGAAGCTGATATAGAAACTAAATCGTAACCTTTCCGTGGAAGAAAATATGGTCCGTGTTTGAAAATTTTAACGCAGATCACGCTTGAAGACGAGAATGAACCGGCAGAAATTCGAGAGGTTTCCCCCAAAAAATTAACGAGCGAATCCTTCGACAATGACAACAAACTTACCTTGAAAAGCCTCTTTGCCTTTTGCAGTTTTTTTTTTACAAGAACCAACGGGGGAAAGATGGAAACGACTTCGAGAAAGACACAGTGCCCGGTTTCCAAAATACTCCAGCGTTACATTAAAGAGCTAAAACTTACTTGCTCTTAGTTTTGATCAACTAAACTTTTTCAACATGGCGAATTTGTTTTCACCTTCTCGGAAAACCTTTGTTGTGTGATATTGTTTTCGTGAGCTAATAAAAACTTTGTTTCTTGACGCCTGTCAAATGATTGTCAAATCGCGCGTCCTGCACTTGTTTCCGGTTCCCCAAACTGGAGGAAGCCATATAATAAACATCTTATTAGCCTCGTTTTTTCGGTCCGTACTGTAAATTACGGATCCCCGTTTTTTTCCATCGATTTATGGCCCGCGCGCGAAAAAAACTCGGTCCGTAATTTACAGTACGGACCTAAAACTCGGCTATTAAGAGGTATATATATATATTTTATGACTGGTTTATTTCATTGTGTACGTCATTGGGTTTAAAAAAAGGCTATCTATAAGGTGTACCTCGTGATCGTTTTAGGAATTAAGGAACACAACGTTTTCAGCCGCTTAATTCAGGCTGAATCACTGAAAACAGGTGACATAACTATATAATAAGAATGTGCAAAGTACAATTTTCTGATTTGCAAATCCAAAAAAATCGTTTTTTGTTTATGTTGAAAACAAGAAATTACATAACGCTACTAAGCATTCCGTCAGCCGCTAGAAGAACTTTCAATTTTTCTTATATTGCATTGTAGTATTTACCAAAAAGCTGCTTGGTGGCTTGGCAAGGTTATTGTCTCAGTACTAATAGCCGCACTAACAGGTACACTTCAAAGTAAAAAAATATATCAATGTATTCACCGGTAACTTTCTGTCGGCATTTCTGTTGTCCTCTTTTCTTCAATGATTATAAACATCATATGTGAGCTAGCTAGGTCTGTACTGTTTGTCGCTTTTATCGGCTGAGATTGTATTTAAGATTACGTGTGCGTGAATGAAATCTTCATGTTGGAACCAAGTTCAATTTGCGTTATTTACTGTTGCTTATTAGCAAGTGGTTTAATCCGGTCTTACGGAGACCAGTTCTTCCCTGCAACAGAGTTTCCTTGTGAGCTAAGTTTCCCCACTTCCGAAATAAAAAGTTCAAGCACCGAGCTATTTTAAGTCTTAAGAATTTACCGGGAGAGCATGCCTTCGGACCCCTCTAGAGGCTTGCGCCCTCGGTGCTCGTCTAGGAAATCGGTCAATATTTGTCCTAGATCAGCGCCCGAGGAAGATCGATAATTTTGTAGTATGAATTTTGATGACGTCATGTGAAAACCAGCAATTGTCATTGTAAAGCATTAACGTTACGAGCAACAAAAATAAATTTTAAAAAACTGTTAGGCTAACAAGTTTTCAACCCACAATTGCAATCTGTTTAAATCTTCTTCAAGATAGTCTTATTTTGTATCTGCTTTGTATGTATACCTTTTTAACGTTTTGAGCAGCTACCGTATTTATTCGATTAACCACCCTGGGCGCTTATTAAATTTTTGGACCTTGGGTGTGGGCGCTTATTGAATTTTCACCATTTTCAACAAGTGAAGTATGTTTATTTTGCAACAAAACAATAAATTAATGCTAGTAACAAAACGCGAAGAAGTAACAAAGCAAGGTTTCTGTAAAATACTCTGAAGAAAACTCTGTCCTCGGGGAAGTCTCTTATTAGAATTTATTCACTCAAGTGGGTGGGGTGGGGGTAAGCGCTTATTTGAGATTGCATGGGTGGAAGAGGGGGTGGGCGCTTAATAACTTTTTCTACCTTTAGGATGAGCGCTTATTCGAGGTGGGCGCTAAGTCGAGGTTGGGCGCTTATTCGAAAAAATACGGTATTTTTATGTTTTATTCAGTTCGGTGACCGTTCGCGTAGGAATTATGAAAATCTTTTCACCTATTCAGCTTTGATCCCATGGCTTCTGTATATATATCTGAACTATTACATATTTACAAACTATCTCGGACTTTAAGATCAGCCAATCAGAATCTTCTTGTAACGTCCAGAACTAATACTGCAATATACAGAGATCTTTTGGGCATTCTCGATCTGTGCCCCAAAACTGTGGGATTCCCTTCCAGCCCAACTTCGTCCCCAGGGCGCTTTTCTTGGCTTTGGAGGTGGGGTGCCCCATTCAGGGCGGAAAAACGTAATGAGCATGCGTGAACTTTTTTGCCCAGATCCCCTGGCCGGGTTTGAAAAAATGGCGGGATTTCAAATATTTTATTGCCTAAAAATAAGATGTTTCCACTCATAACCTGGAAAGAACAGGCAATTTGTCTTCAAAAGTTGCAAGCTGTGGTTATAACCTTGTCGTTACTTAATTTTCTCGAAGAATACCTCATAATAAAACGTACTTTAACGACATCAATTTCCTTGCGTTGTACTGGAAATGTGCATGCGTAGGTCCGATTTTTTTCAAGATGCATTCACAAAATGTGTTCCTATAAGGAAGTTCCTGGATATATAAGGTCCGGAGCTCCACTGTGGACACAAAAACAACATATCTTTGGACAGTGATTTGCCCAAAAAAATTAACGCTTGCCCACAATGTGTTTGAAGGCACTGAACTTGTCGCACTCGAGCTGATATTTATTTTAAAACCCTCGCTCGATCGGACACTCGCAGTTTCGCAGATAACTAAAATATAAACAAAATGCTCAATGTAGAAGTTATTGCGTTGATATGCGGGCAGAAAAAAGGTCAATCTTTATCTAGTAAAATCTTCCCAAAAATCGGTTTTAAAGCAACTATAGTTTATTTTTAAACTTGATCGTTTCGCGTACTAAGATATAAATATAAATTATGCTTTGTGTTGTCAAGTTGAAAATACATAACATCTGTCAAAAACCTACACGTAAGTAGGATTTCCTTCAAACAAAGTTAAAATTACGTTACTGCAAAAACTTCTTGCTGACAATGAAGAAATGAATTTTTTGTACGAAAACAACCTACCTAAAGATCTTAAAAGCAAAAGATCAGTTGCAGTGAGCTTCGCAGCTAAACCATGATTCACCATGTAGCTCTTCTCCTCGCTTTAAAAACTCAGTGAATAACTGGTCCATGTGAGGGTCTTCATTCAAACAAATTAAACGCAGCCAATCGTTACAAAATTCAGAAAACTGCATATAAGGGTATTTGTTTTGCTCGCTTCAGAGAAATCCAGCTCCAGCAATTCAGTGTTACGGGCAGAGTCAATTGTTTTGAAGTGACTGCCGGCAGTTGTCCTCTACTTCACAGCGAGTGAAATGGAAAATTTGCGTACAGAAAGTTATTTCTTATACAGAACAGAAACTTTCACAGTGCAGTGGAAAACAAAACTATGTAATTAAAAGTGAAGAAAACTCTGACTACTTATAGTATTTGAGCAACAGAAAAATGATTCTTTTCTTCTAGAGTAAGTTTACTGAACTTCTACCGGTATTTCCGAGAAAGTTTTACGGCGCACAAAATGGTTCTTTGACTGAAGAGAAGGATAAAGCTGGTTCTACAAAGGGAATAAATCTGGGCATGTGAAAAAGTATTTACTAATTTAAAAAAAGAGTGGGTTTTAATTCAGCCCGGCGAAAGAAGGCGAAATCAATAAATCGAATGAACAATCAAAGAAATACTCGCCTCTTTGGAAATGTTCAAAACTCTTTATTCCACCTCAGACTGACGGAATGATCCGTTTTTCCTTTAACATTGGTTGTTCCGAGTCCAAAGTAATTTTCAAGTGACGAAAAACAAAAACCACACAAAAGTAAAAAGGCTTTTCGAGGAGCAAACGTTCAGACCTTGTGCATTTCATTCAGTCTTAGTCAGAACTCTCTAAGTGACAAACAAACAAACTGTACAGTCAACACACAGAAAAGCCCGCCTTGAGCCTGCGATAAAGGATGCGCAGAAGCTTGCGCAGAACGTTTTTCCGCCCTGAAGGTGCCCCACCTCTAAAGCCAGGGGAAAGCGCCCTGGGGACGAGGTTGCTTCCACCCCTGACCATCAGAGGCACTTTAAGTCCCAACTGAAAAACAATCTTTTTTAAACCACGTTTTATAGATATTACAAGTTGTACTGGATCAGTTTTTATGATATTTTCATTTTATATTTATGGACTACTACTTGTTTTAGTCTTTTTTTTACCAGCTTTTTTGAACACAGGCCTGTCCAGAGGGGATAGGAACGAACGGAACTCATAGGTCCCATGCAAGGTGCCATCCCTACCCAATCCCTCAACCCGTAGAGGTTGGTCACACCACCGAGGTCTACGTCCTCTACGTATACTCTTTTCGAACAGTGGTGTTGCCTCTTTTACGTCCCACTTGAACAGATTGAAAGGCCTGTGAGACGGGACCTACGGTTTTTCGTCCTTATCGGAGAAGAGTACAAAGTCTAACCATTTGCAGATTTCATTACAAAGGAAGCACTTTCTTCTCAATTATTTAAAAACCCTGAGTGTTGGCCCGCCGGGGTTTGAACCCGCGACCCCCCGCTCGCACAGACTGGCGCTCTCCAAATTGTTCAGATACATAAACAGCTCATTTTACCAAAATGTATTGTCCTTAATTTTTCCTCGATTACATAACATTACCAAATATGACACAAAAACAATGATCCGCTGTTCACTTGAACCAGCGTTCTTTTTTATTGCGGGCGACAAGAGGAGCCCACAATGCTAATCTCCAGGTTGTTATTACGCATGCGACGCATGTATGCAGCCAGCATTCGTTTGGACTTCCACTAAAAATGTATGAATACATAGAACGCACTTTGATCAGGCGCGTTTGGACTTTCTATCACTGGTAATCTGATCACGCGTGTTTTGACCATCTGTCACGTGAAACTTACGCAAAACACAGCGCTGGAGCAAATGTGTTTGGACCTTCGATCGTTGACGCCCGCACTTCATAACCTTTGGTTT